GGAAATCCAACTCTGATCATTTCCACATTTGCCACAGTAGAAAATAAATATTGTTAATTATCAAATTAAATTACACATTCAGTGAAAGCATCCCCCGACATTCAGCCTCACCTTGTAGAAGCGGGCCACGTCTGGCACACCTCCAAACTCTCCTGTCAGCTGGTTCTTCACCTTGTTGACGGCGTTGTTCTCCACGTTAACGGCGCCGATCAGCAGGTTGTTGGAGATGTTGTCCAGGTGACCACGGAACTTCAGCCAGGGCCCGGCCGCGCTGATGTGGTCGGTGGTGCATTTCCCCTTCACCTGGAGGGGAGGGGGGGTCACGTTTACGGATTTCTAAACAATCATACAGAATTCCTGAAAGGGGGGAGACTCTGGATTACTTTTACAGATCCTACTTGAACATTTCTGAGTCATCATTTCAAGAAACCAGTGCAAGGTTTGTCCCATTTGGGCTACTGTAGATTCATGGTTGGGGAAATCAAAGTCAGACGCTCTCAAATTAAACCACATCAGCCTTTCTGTGCATCTAATCCATCATCAGAACTACTCGCTGCTCAGATAAATCATGACAGTTTTAATCCAATCAAATCTGGGACCACTTTCCCTAAATAGCCTCAAACACCACATAGCCACAACATTAAACCTGGGTTCAAGTGAAAACCTCAGCAACTGGGTGACTAGCTTCCCTCCATGCACACTCTAATAAACCACAGCAGGCCCTTCTGCAGGTGGAGCCCCTCCTCTGCTCCTGAACATTATTAAATCATAGTTAACAAGGTTAATGCTAACAGTTTATTATCTCACACAGGAGCACAGATGTCAACCCTGACCCTAACCCTTAAGCACATCGTAATCTGGACTGAAAAAAGCATCCACATGCTCACCTTGATGAGGATCCTCATGTCCACCAGGTCTTTTCCATCCCACTTGTCGAAGGGCTCCAGCAGCTGCAGACGGGTGCTGGAGGGGTTTACATCCACCTGCGGGGCACCGAAAACAGGGTCGGATACAAGCAGGGTTTCCCCCGGCGCTTTATAAGCCTGGCGGCCCGCCAGGCTTTGCTTGGCCACCCGCCAGGTTAAGCATCATGCCCCGCCCCCCTCCCCAACCCTACCGTGTCCGCTGACAAGAGCCCTCCATCAGCTGATCCTAGTGAGAAACAGCAGCGGAAAGTGTGCAACCGCCCCACCCCCTACCCCGCTCTCACGGAGGAGCGCTGCGGGATGAAGCGCTTACTTTGACTGAGCTGCCCTCTGCGGGGGGGTGCTGGTAGGTGTCCTGCCCTGGGTCAAAGTCCCTCGAGGGAAGCTCGTCACCGGTGGGGGGGTTCAGCTTAAACTTCTCCCCATTGGGGGCAGTCAGGTAGTCGGTTTCCGGGTTAAAGTTGAGAGTCCCAGCGAGAGCCAGAGCAGTGACGATCTACGGAAACAGATCCATAGCAACAGTTTGAGCTCTCTGTGTTCGACTCGCATGCAAAAATCGTCTTATATGGTAAGCCATCGGTCCGTGTGGCTCAGATCACGTCTTACCTCAGGAGAGGTGACGAAAGCGTGAGTGGCTGGATTAGCATCGTTCCTGGCTGTGAAGTTCCTGTTGAAAGATGTGACGATCGTGTTCTTCTCTCCTTTCTTCACATCCCTCCTGAAAACATGAAAAAAAAAACATGAGAAGTGTTGGATAAATTCTCTGTTAAACGACAACTACAGAATACACTGCAAAAAAATAACGACCTGCAGCAGCTATAATGTCCATTTTATATCTAATCAGTCATCAATATCAACAAATTCTACCCTTTAATTATTATTATTATTATATTAATAATATTAATAATAATAATAAAGGGGATATATATTTCTGAAGTTATAATAGTTCTATGGTCGATAAAAAACATGTTTGTAAATTTTCTTTGCACCAACTAAACTGCTCACATGAAGCAGTTTTATTCTTGACATTTTCAATACCTTCCAAAATGAGCCTTTCAGGACTCTGTCACTTTAAAGAGCAAGTCACCCCCTACCAGAGTCTTACTCCACTCCCACTTCCTGTTTGAAAAATGCAACAAAGGCTGTTGGCTGGCAGACCGAGAGGGCGGAGCCGCTAACAAATACACACATACACACACAGGTTCACGACGACATTGTGGCATCATAGGGTACCTCTTAGCCAATAGCCATGGCAGGTTTAAATTCAAACGCAGTGCAGAGTTTTTACCTGAAGATGGCGCAACACTGACAGTTTTAGGCTGAATATTTTTATTTTAACTAAGATGCACTAAAGTGCCAAATTATTCACCACACATGTCTATAGCGTGATCAGACACTCATTTATGTAGTTTATCAGCAAAAAAAGTTGATTTGAGGGTGACTTGCTCTTTAAGAGACAAGCTGGAGCTGGCCACGCCCACACATCCTGTGATTGGCTGCTGTGAGGTGAGAAGCTTGAAAAAACAGGAGGGGCTTGAAGTAAAGCTGCTGCTTCACCTCCAGGACAGAAGAGAGGGTTTTGAGCCGATTTCACTTCATGTTGAAATCAAAATAAGGGACTTCTTTTTAATGGCTTGTTTTAGGCACATAAATCCAAAAACCAAACACTGACAGAAAAAAGATTAAAACTAGAGGTTGGTCAATTATTTACCTCATAAATAAAATAAATGTCGGCCATTGCTGTAGGTGGCTAAAGAAAAAGTACATTTCAGGGATAGTTTAGCCATTTTGAAGAGTGTTTCTCCATAAAACCATAAACAACTACCATCTTTCCCATAATGTAAAGCTTCCTGAAAAGCTTCCGTTTGGAGAAATGGAGTTTACATCCTTCGGGCTGCTCTGAACACAGCCTCTGTCCTAAAATAGCTCTCACAGCACAGTGTTTTCATTGCTGAGACACTTACCGGTCCCACTGTCCGATGCAGGGACCACAGGCGTTAGCGAGTACCGTGCCTCCAACATCAGTCAGGATCTTGGCCTGACAGAGAGACAACAGGAGTTTAGGAAGATGGTGAATTTTTAAAGAACTAGTGTAACTAGTGTCAAAAATGTTCTGCTTAACATTCTCTTTGTGTGTTTCTGACTCACATATCCGTCCCTCTCAATAGTGGCGCGGATCTGCTCTGATCCAGGGGTAACGGTGAACTGGGACTTGCACTTGAGTCCTTTATCCAGAGCCTGCTTGGCCAGAGAAGCTGCTCTTCCCATGTCTTCATAGCTAGAGTTGGTGCAACTGCCAATCAGACCTGTTTGTAGGAAGAAAACACAACAGAAATAAGTTCAGTCTAGTCTAGAATCTAATCTAGCATACACAAGACAGGCGTTTCTTAAAGGGGCATTATGGAAGTTTGACAGCCAAAACATGTATAGAAATAATACATTTCTTCTTCATACATTCTCCTGCAATGCCCTGGTCCTGTAGAATGAGCTCTGGCATTTTTACTGTGTTGACTGTTTTTCTGTAAAATCACAGAAAAAGAGCGCTGCTCAGGTCGAGCAGGCTGCTTCATGCACGTTCACGCTCAGGCATAACCCGTAGCATTTGCTATCAGTAGCTTTAGCAGCAGAGAGAGAGGCAGTGCCACTTTGTCGCTGTTCCCAACGCCTAGTGACAAAGCTAGCTACATTTCTGAGGACCCTTAGCTACTTTCTGTAGAACTTTCTTCTAGATATTTCCTGCAAATTAGCAACAAAATAGCCATTTTCGTTCCGAACCGTTCGTTGGTTTGACGTTGTTTCAGCTGTCATCAAGGATATAAAAGTTAAAGATACTGTAAATGTTACTAGAGTGTAGCTAACCCTGCAAGATGTCTGACTCCCATGCAGAAGATCTGGGTTTGATTCCAGATGTGAACATAGTTTATTTAGAGTTTATTTTTTACAGTAATGGTATATTTTTTTTACAGTAAGGTGCCCAAATTCTTATTCGAGACTCGCCGAACGGCATTGAATTCACAGATAAAAAAGATGTGGGTTCAACTTTCATTTTGGAACAATTTTTCAAGCAAGGGAAGGGAATGATCTGAGCATGCAGGAGGACTGCCCCATCTTAAACCTTTGTCGGCTGTGCTGAAGAGAAAGGTACAGAACCAAATTATTTAATTAGCTGCTCGTTCTCCTGTCCTCTGGACCACACACACACACACACGGAACTGTCTCAGCTGTTATTTTCGTTAAGGAGTGTGCACGTACAGCGTGCGTGCCTCGTGCACGAGCCTACTATTGAAGCTGCCGTTACGCTTTTGGCCTGAGGGGGCAATCGCGAGCATAAAAATTCAAAAGTCCATAAAGTCCCTTTAAGGAAAGACACTAAAGTTTTGACAGTCCCTCTTCTGCTCTGATTATTCTGCATACAACAGGAAGTATGTTGTGTTCAAGGTGACTTTGGAGAACAAGTCACGACTGAGCTGTAATGCAATCTAATCATATCTGCTCAATAATACAGCAAGTAGGAACAAAGATTGAGAGATCCAATTTCACTGGACAAAGCACTAAAAGTGGCTGTAAGGGGATACAGCCGTGTCACAAATACAGACCAACTTTAACCTCCAGGGGCCAACCGCTCTTCTTAGCTACGGCCCCGATCTCGGACACGGGGTGGGCCAGGTCCGGGGTGAACGGTCCGTTCATGTGGGGCTTCAACTGTCAGAGGAAGGAGAAAAAAGCACCACACCTGAGCCAGTGTAGGGAAAACACTGACCATCTGGCAAAAAATAAATAAAATAAAAATACTGCTAATATTTTCACATTTGTATTTGCTTCCTTAGATCACCTCACTCAGGTTGATCTCAATGGTTTGATCGTATTCACAGCCCTCATCTGGCACCAGATCCTCTTTAAAGGTATCAGCAACTGAAGCGATGTCTGCAGAATGAAGAAAGATGGAGATGATGTTGTTTTTAAGTTTGTTGTAGAAGCAGGGACGAACATCCAGAAACTGACCTCCACGACCGGTTTTCTCCAGGTACGTCCTCATGCGGTGGTTATATGGAAAAACAGACGTCGTGGCTCCAATTTCAGCGCCCATGTTACAGATAGTGGCCATTCCTGAAACGTATTATTGGGGCAATTACGGTAAGTTATTGATTCGTGTGTCTGAACACAGATCAGCAGAATTTAAAGCTTTATGAGGAACCTTGGTCCTACCCGTGCAGGAGATGGAGTCGACTCCAGGTCCGTGATACTCCACGATGGCTCCTGTGCCTCCTTTCACAGTCAGGATGCCGGCCACCTTCAGGATCACATCTTTCGAGGAGGTCCAGCCAGACAGAGTTCCTGTCAGTCTAACTCCAATCACCTGAGGGGGAGTGACACAGACGTAGTATCATGATTTAGGTTCCTGGACTGTTTTCATGCCTCTCTGCACCTAATAACCCAAACATCTTCACCTGGGACTAGTTTGGTTAAGCTGCCTGCAGTTACAGCTCCAGATCACCTTCAGCCTTCACGCAGAGCAGACGCAACCTGTTGCTCGATTACCGCGAAAGCTCTGAAAACAATCTCATCAGATATTCCACTGTTTTCACTACATAGGCTCAGCAGTGGCACTGCGCCAGTGTGTGAAGGGTGCTCTGGGCTACTCTGATGCACGTCGGGACCGCTCTGATCTGAAATCGGGGATATAAAACATTTTGGACGGTCTTGGTCTGATTTCTGAGAACAAACACGTTGCCTGCTGAATGTGACATGCGGCCAATCAGAAAGCGAGGTGACAGAAGCGTTTTGTTGACACAAATATACAAACACAGGCAAAAACAATATTACCCACCTATTACTCTTGGATTGTGGGCACAAATCGCAAAAACTGGTAGATTAAGGACATTTCTAAATAAAATACTCACTTTGGGGCATTTGAGCTCCCAAGGAATTCCAGCCATGACATCAACAGCATCAGCCCCACCCACTCCGATACAGATGCCACCCAGTCCACCGCCATTGGGCGTGTGTGAGTCGGTACCAATCAGCATCACTCCAGGATAGGCGTAATTCTCCAGGATGATCTGCACAAACACAAGGACAATTTTTTTGTTTACTTTCAAACACGCCTTACGAAAACATAATTAAATAATAATAACAGTAAAATAAAACATTACCTGGTGGATGATCCCTGAGCCTGGCTTCCAGAAGCCAACACCATATTTTGCTGCAGCAGTTGCAAGAAAGTTGTACACCTCCTGATTTATTTCCTTATAAAGTGAATAAATTGATCACATTATAAACAATCTAGCCTTATGATGCCAAACAGAACTGAATAACGTGAATTGCGTAATAAAAACGTCTCACCTTTGCCCTTTGCAGGTCCTGAGCCCCCCCGATCTGAGCCTCGATCAGGTGATCACAGTGGATAGTGGAGGGAACGGCCACTTTGGGCAACCCACTGCTTATAAACTGCAGCATGGCCATCTGGGCTGTAGCATCCTGCATGGCCACGCGGTCCGGACGCAAGCGTAGGTAAGTGCGTCCTCGGTCGATCTCCTGACCTGCTGGATCATCCAGGTGGCCATAAACGATCTTCTCAGAGAGAGTGAGAGGCCTGTTCAACCTGGTGAGGTGGATCACACAAAACATGAACTGTAACGGGCTAGATTATTCTTCTCTTTGATGTTTGTAACAACTCAGAACCACAAATCACAAAGTTTCTTTGTCTCATTTGAATGATGATTGATCCTTAAAGCAGAAATCATGAGTCTATCACAAGCCCCCACAAAGCGGCTCAAAAATTGAGGCCAACCGGGAAGTACCAAAAATTGCAGTTCCACCCTCATCCACTGGGGGCTGGTGTCAGAAGCGAGCAAATTGTCATTGACTCCCATGTTAAAAATACCAATTTCACAGCAGAAATAAGCATGTTTACAGCCTGGTTCCAAAACATGTTTTTGGTTAAAATGATCTAGTTTACACTCATGACAACTCTGAGGGGGGGTGAATGTTTTTCTCACACTTCTGTTTAAGTGTATTAAATTCCTAAAATTCTGTATAATTAATGAGCATCAGATCCATGTGACCGCAGAGCTAGCTCCGTGGAAAGGCCTCAGTAGAGCCTCGGTCTGGCCAGGAAACTGTTCCGGGATTTTGAGTCTCTGTGTTTGTGTATTCTGTTTTGGATATTTTTTGTGCAATTGTTGGACAAAATGACTTGCTGTGGCATTAATTGCACAAATAGAGCGCCCAAGGAGTCTCCACTTCATTTTTTATTTAACCATGAAATTTAAATGTAATAGGGTAAAACCCAGTGCATTTAACATAATGCTGCACTTTAGAAAATGGGTTGAAATATAACATGTTGGTGGAGCTGGGTTCCGACTATCGGCTTGTGGAACTCTCGGGAGACCGATGTTTTCCACCCGTTCTCGCCTCCCGCAGCTCGGCGCATCTCTGTCTGATCGCGGCTTCTGTCTGCTGCGCAGCTGCCGGCTCGTGGAGCTTTCGGGAGACCTCTGTGTTCCACCCGGTTTTACCCAGCGGTCAGCCCGGCGTATCTCTGACTCAGAAGCTCTGGTGTTGTGCACAGTTAACTCCGGTTGTAGCTAGGTTGCTACCTCCGTTAGCTTAGCTCCCACCTCCGCGTTAGCTTTGGGTTAGCTTCAGGTTAGCTTGTAGCTAGTTCGACCGGGTGTCGTCAGTTGATCCCAGCCTTACAGCCCCACCCTCAGCTGCACCTCTCTTCCCTTTTGTGGAATTAACTGGGCTTGACAGAACCTGTGACACGGTCAAAATGGCGGTGGTGGCCACCTCCCATTTTAGCTCAAAAACTTATAATTGGAGTCTATGGAAACCCATTGTCCAATATTTATATGTCGATGGTTTTTCTTCAGGGGGCACCCTCTGGAGGTGGAAAAACTTACGCCCCTCGACCTACTTCCTCAAACGCTCCGGGATTGACATCTGTAAGTAAGTGGATGTCAAACGCTATTGGTTAATGCTAAGCAGTGGTCAAGTCAAATTGCATGGGACTCTACAGGACAGGGGATGGGCTTAGCAAAAACAATTAAAGTATTGCCTAGATCAGGGCTAGTCAATTCTGGGCCTCGAGGGCCGGTATCCAGCACGTTTTAGTGGTTTCTCTGCTCCAACACACTGATTGAGTGGTTGAATCTCCTGTGCAGCAGCTCGTCAGGCTCTGCAGAAGCCTGTTAATCACCTACTGATTGAAGTCAGATGTGCTGAAGCAGGGTTAAAGCTAAAGCGTGCTGGATACCGGCACTCGAGGACTAGAAGCCGATAGCCCTGGCCTAGATTACATCACAGTACAGAGTAATACTATCACTTTTACAGATTTCTAAGAAATCATACATCATTCGTGACAGATGGAAAACCTCAGATTGCTGCTTTAAAGGTAAAACTTGACAACTTCTGACCTCTTGCGTACGATGCTGACGTTCTCGTGCAGCTTCTCATAGTTAATGCTGGAGCCTGGCTCAAAGTGACTCATGGCCACCTTGGCCCTGGCGTTGAAAGCCGCCGAGACATGAAAGCGCCTCACACCGGTCCCCAGAGCCAGCTAGAGCAGGAACAGCAGGAAATCATTAAATGAAATAAAACAATAACCCGTTTTATTGTGCTGTTTAGCAAAAGCATGAAATTTTTTAAGTGAAAGGTCAGAAGGAGGGGCTGAGTGCTTCTGCACAGGCAGCTGAACCAGTGAAAAACAGGAAGACAAAAGAATATTCTACCTTAGTTTTTTTTTTTTTACTGATGTTTCAACAGACTTTTGTAAACTTTTATGGGCTTAAATAATGTTTTGTTATAATGACTGACCAGAAACCTCTCCACAGCAGCTAAGGTTGCTCCTTTCACACTGATAACACTGGGGTTCTCTTGGACCATAAACTTACTTGGAAATCCCATATAAAATATATAAAACAAAAAATATCTACAAGTATTGGAATTTTAAACAAAGTCAAAAGTATTCTAGAAATTTCAACGCTTCAGACATTATATTATTCATTTATCTTACCATATTTAACTTATTGTATTGAGGTTTGGGGCAATACATATAAAACAAACACTAATCCTTTGTTTCTGTTACAGAAGAAAATTTTGCGAATTCTATATAAAGCAAATCCGAGAGAAGATACTAACAAATATTTTGTTCTATCTAAAATTATGAAATTCAAAGACTTAGTTAACTTGAAAATTTTACTAATTATGTTTAAGGCTAGAAATAATTTACTGCCAACTAATCTACAAAGGTTCTTTGTTTTGATCCCAAAAAATGATGAGAGTAGAAAGAAACCAGAGTTTAAAAGGATATTTGTTCGTACTACATTAAAGCAAATGTGTATTTCAATATATGGTGTGAAATTATGGAATAACCTGGATGATGAATTAAAAAAAATGTACAACTACTGATCAATTTAAAAAAATGTATAAAGATAAAATGCTAAAATCATATAAGATTTTTTCTTCTTCCTCCCCCTATTTCACTCGAATGCTCATATTCTGGTTGGCAATTGTATTCTGATTTGACATTTGTATATCTAAATTTTGAGTGAAATAAAATTATTGAATTGAATTGAATGATACTCAAACGAAAGCCTCTGAGCTCAGAGAAAACTGGGGGAAAGTTATTTTGGCTCAGGTTACTGAAGTTAGCCCTTCCCAAAAAAACTAAACAACAAACAACTTTAAAAATGCTGAGTGAGCTTAACATTCTCAGACACTAAAGTTTGAGGCTGAACTAAAAATTTAACCAGTTTTGAGAGAAAGAGCTGGAAAATCATCTGGGATCAAATGAGGTGATAAATAGAGTCACCACAATTTTTACACACAGACACAAAATAAACTGTCAGGAAATAACAGGTACACGATAGCAACTTAGAAAATATACTTGTTCACTTCGTTGTTTTCTTAAAGGGGCATTGTGGAAGTTTGACAGCCAAAACATGTATAGAAATAATAAATGTCTTCTTCATACATTCTCCTGCAATGCCCTGGTCCTGTAGAATGAGCCCTGGCATTTTTACTGTGATTGCCTGTTTTTCTGTAAAATCACAGAAAAAGAGAGATGCTCGGGTCGAGCAGGCTGCTTCATGCACGTTCACGCTCAGGCATCGCCCGTAGCATTTGCTATCCGTAGCTTTAGCAGCAGAGAGTGAGGCAGTGCCAACTCAGCTACTTTGTCGCTGTTCCTAACGCCTAGTGATGAACCTAGCTACATTTCTGAGGACGCTTAGCTATTTTTTCTAAATATTTCCTGCAAATTAGCAACAAAATAGCAATTTTCGCTCCAAACCTTTCTCCAAATGTTGTTTCAGCTGTCATCAAGGATATAAATATTACAGATACCAAAAACGTCACTGGTGCTTTAGCTCGTCTCATAAGACAATGGACTCTGTGCAGGGAAACCCGGGTTCGATTCTCGATGTGAACATAGTTTATTTAGAGTTTATTTTTTACATTAATGGTATTTTTTTTTTACAGTAAGACGCCCAAATTTTTATTTGAGACTCGTCGAACGGCATTGAATTCACAGATAAAAAAGATGTGGGTTCAACTTTCACTTTGGAACAATTTTTCAAGCAAGGGAAGGGAATGATCTGAGCATGCAGGAGGACTGACCCATCATAAACCTTTGTCGGCTGTGCTGAAGAGAAAGGTACAGAACCAAATTATTTAATTAGCTGCTCGTTCTCCTGTCCTCTGTCCTCCGGGCAACACACACACACACACAAACACACACACACACAAGGGACTGTCTCAGCTGTTATTTTCGTTGAGTGTGCACGTACAGCATGCGCGCCTTGTGCACGAGCCTACTATTGAAGCTGCCATTACGCTTTTGGCCTGAGGGGGCAATCACGAGCATAAAAATTCAAAACTCCGTAAAGTCCCTTTAAAGAGCAAGCCACCCCCAAATCATGTTTATGTTTATGTATTTAGCAGACGCTTTTGTCCAAAGCGACTTACAAGTGATAATCGGCATGTTGTCCTTGAGGCTAACAACAACAATAACAACAACATTGACATCAGTCATGGAGAGTAGGGAACAAGGAGTGGACAGTAGAGAGGGGGCACGGGTGCAGGGAGGGTGCTAGTTAAGAAGATGCTCTCTGAAGAGCAGGGACTTCAGGAGTTTCTTGAAAATTGAAAAGGAAGCCGCAGTTCTGGTAGTACTTGGAAGGTCATTCCACATTTGTGGAACGATGCATGAGAAGAGTCTGGATTGTCCTGAGCACTGCTAGCCGACGATCTTGTGATGACCGGAGCGGTCGGGCCGAGACGTAAGCCTTTGCAAGAGGATTCAGGTAGATGGGAGCCGTACCATCTCGGACTTTGTATGCTAGTGTGTTAGCAATTTGAATTTGATGCGTGCTGCTAGCGGTAGCCAGTGGAGCTCAATGAACAGAGGGGTGACGTGTGCTCTTTTTGGCTGATTGAAGACCAGACGCGCCGCTGCGTTCTGGACCATTTGAAGAGGTCTCACAGTACAGCCTGGAAGACCAGTTAGAAGGGCATTGCAGTAATCGAGGCGGGAGATGACAGTAGACTGCACCAGGAGCTGGGTGGCATGTTGTGTTAGGTATGGTCTGATCTTTCGTATGTTATACAGCGCAAAGCGGCATAAACAATCAACAGAGGCAACATGATCTTTAAAGGTCAGGTGTTCATCAATCACAACACCCAGATTTCGAACTGCTTTTGAAGGAGCCAGAGATAGGAAGTCATTTTGGATTGAGATTCTGTGCTGTATGGATGGTTTTGCTGGGATGACATGTAGTTCAGTTTTAGAGAGGTTGAGTTGGAGATGGTGGGATTTCATCCATTTTGATATGTCAGAGAGACAGTTTGATATTCGTGCAGAGACAGTGTGGTCGTCCGGTGGAAATGACAGATAGACCTGGGCGTCGTCTGTATAGCAGTGGTAGGAGAAGCCATGTGATCGAATGATCTCACCCAGTGAGGTGGTGTATATGGCAAAGAGAAGAGGTCCTAGTACTGAGCTCTGGGGGAGTCCTGTGGCAAGATGGTGCACGGTAGAGGATTGTCCAAGCCAAGATACACTGAATGATCGTTCTGTGAGGTACGATTCAAACCAGGCGTCTGCTTTCTCTGTGATGCCCAAGGTAGAGAATGTGGACAAAAGGAAGCCATGGTTGACAGTGTCAAATGCTGCCGATAAGTCGAGCAAGATAAGCACTGAGGATTTGCCTGTCGCTCTAGCTTCTTTTAAGGATTCCGTCACTGCTAACAGAGCTGTTTCAGTGGAGTGGCCCTTTTTGAACCCAGATTGGTAAGGGTCAAGCAGACAGTTTTGTGAGAGGTATTCTGTGATCTGCTTGAAAGCCACTATTTTTTTTTTACTGATAAACTATATAAATGTGTGTCTAATCGTGCTGCAGACGTGCAGTCAACAGTTTTGCACTTTAGTGCATTTTAGTTACAATTTAAATTTTCTGCCTAAAACTGTTAGTGCTGTGTCGATGTCAGGTAAAAACTCAGCATTGCATTTGAATTTAAATCTGCCATCGCTATTGGCTAAGAGGTACCCTAGAACGTTAGCTGGTACCATATGATGTCACAATATCGTTGTGAGCCTGTGTGTGTGCAGGGGTTTTCCTGCTTTCAAATTTGCGTGGTGGCCACCTCCAGCTATTTTTGAGCCGCTCCAGCCTGATTTCACTCTGCCCCCAGCAAAATGGATGTTATTTTAACTGCAGTTGCAGCGTTGCACCACTATAGGGGTGCTGTATCAGCAGCAGTGCACCGAAAAGCGCGAAAACCGCTGCAGAAAAATATCAAAGATTTCTTTTCTCGCTAGTTGGTACAGATCTATGGTTGGTGCTATTGTAGGCTGTCCATACTGTACGTCCTCTTTCCCCCGGACATGTCCACTTTCCACTCTCTGTCCGGGGCGTCCTGGGGGTTTTCCTACAATGATCAAAATGTCCGTTTTTTCATCCAGGAGCAGGGATCGAGTTATGGGGGGCTAGATATCTTTCAGGGAAAGATCCAGTTTCTGCCAATATTACAATATTTATGGACTCTCAGCAATAAAACTGAACTTCTTCTAGTTGGCACTAAATCCACCCTCTCAAAATCTGACAGCTTTTCTTTAACTATTGACAGCGCCATAGTCTCCCCCTCCCCTCACGTCAAGAGTCTGGGTGTCATCCTCAACAGCTCACTTTTTTTTCAAGCTCACATTAATAACATAATTCGGTCAGCATACTTCCATCTACGTTCCATAAACCGTCTCCGCCCCTCCCTTACCCCTCACACTGCCGCCATTCTCGTCCACAGCCTCGTCACCTCCCGTATCGACTATTGCAATTCACTTCTTTATGGTCTCCCCAACAAACTCCTTCATAAACTGCAACTGGTCCAGAATTCAGCAGCCCGTATTATCACCAGAACCCCTTCCTTTCACCACATCACCCCGGTTCTCCAGCAGCTTCACTGGCTACCAGTTAAATTCAGGTCCATCTTCAAAATTCTCTTCCATACCTTCAAAGCAATCCACAACCTCTCTCCTCCATATATCTCAGAACTTATAAGTTTTCACACCCCATCCCGTTCACTCAGATCTTCTTCTTCCATCCATCTTGCGGTTCCTTCTGCCCGTCTCGCTACCACTCTGCTCCTCGTCTCTGGAACTCACTTCCCCCAGACATCAGGAACATCGACAGTTTTACCCTTTTCAAAACAAAACTCAAAACACATATGTTTAAATCTGCCTACAACCTCTGATTTTATTGAACAGTTTCTCTCTGGTTTTTTTTCCCTTGTTTGGGTTTTATTATTGTTTGATTGTATTTTATTACATGTTTTCTGTCGAGTGACCTTGGGTGTTCTGAAAGGCGCTTTTAAATACAATGTATTATTATTATTATTATTATCATAGCGGGGATTCTGTTGAGCAGAGAGGACGCAGAGCGCTGATCGTTGGTGCGCCCGGTGCGTCCGGCACACGATACGTTCTCAAGGTGGCGCAACAAAATATCATTATTAACACATGATCGTTCATATCTGTTTATATCCTCTGGTGCTCTGTGTTTTAATCATTCCTGACTCGCTCTGCTCATCATGTGCTGCGGTGATTTCACCTCACCGATGCAGCATCGAAACGTGCACTCCGCTTTGCGGTCAGGAGATCCCTTTGATCTGCTCAAAAGTAACTGATGAGGTGAAAAAAGTAAGAATCCAGGCAGCAGTTTTTCTGGAGAGTTTAGAGGAGATGCAGGAAGATGAGAGACAGACAGGACAGGAAAATAGTTAAAATAAAAACTAGAAAACAAAGCTTGAAAATAAAATGTAGGTAGATTTATCTCCACTACACGTTTTTACCTGTATAAAACAATACGTCACACACAAGTAATATTTATACATCCGATAAAATTCAGATCATCTTCAAAACTCAGTCACACAACCAGGGTCATTTCAAGGTATTTTGGGGGCCAAGGCAAAACGGAACTGGATTATTGCCAACCCGTACATAACAGACATGCCACCATTACATTGTTAGCAGCAGAAATTAAATGTTATTACCATTTCCAATACAAATGTATGTTAATGAAATGCATTATAGTTTACTGGATATATTTATGTGTTATTTTGCCTAAGATGAGTGCTATTAATACAAACCTAAAATGTTACTGAAATGTAGGTCAAAAATCAAAAAATATTTTTATCCATTAATATCAGATGGGAAAAGGGGAAATAAACAATTCTAATGCATTTAATTGAGCCTTTTATAATATTTTGCCTTTAAACGAGTGAGGCAGTTGAATGCACAGAGTATGCATGTGCTGGCGCATGGTCAGGATGGTACCACCTCTGCTTCAATTTGAGCCAGGAAAAACCCTGGTGTGTGTATTTGTTAGCAGCTCCGCCCTCTCGGTCTGCTAGGCAACAGCATTTGTTGCATTTTTCAAACAGGAAGTGGGAGTTGAGTAAGAATCTGGTAGGGTGTGACTTGCTCTTTAAAAAACAAAAACTTATTTTGTATTTGTATTATATTTGGCCCCCTTTTGATCAAAACTGATCAAATTCTACCATTTATATAATAAAGTGTATTTTCATCAGAACAGAGCTATACTGCTTTTATTTTGATAGTGGGTGAGTTAATAAAGCATTTTGAAGGATTGTGAAGACTGAAACCCAAACACACACAGAAAAAATTGCAGTTTACACACGAATATTTACAATAACAGACAACTTTATATTATTTTATTTATATTTCTAACATAACACATTACAGTTATTAGCTTTCTCCTCTGACTTTTGGAGTTTACAGGTTTGCGACGCAATGCATTATGGGAAACTTTGTTGTCCCAAGTCCACAGAAGGATGTGTTGATGCATCCTCGGTACAATGGGCAGAGCAAGAACACATCAGGAAACTTTGAGCGAACTTGCCATTATGCGTATTTAGGATTGGAACAGTCGTTAATGACGTTTCACAAGGACGTATGTACACAAGTTCGGACAAGTATGCATTTTGAGAAACGGCCACAGGCTCACAAAAACATTGTGACATCATAATGTACCAGCTAACATCATAGTGTACCTTTTAACCAATTGCGATGGTAGATTTTAATTCAAATGTGGTGCAGAGTTTTTACCTGAAGAGGGCACAACATTGACAGCTTCAGAATATTTAAATTTTAACTAAGATGCGCTAAAGTCACAGATAATCGACTACACGTGTCTACAGCACAATTAGACACTCGTTTGTATGGTTTATCAACAAAAAGAAAGTTGATTTGGGGGTAACTTGCTCTTTAAACATTAGTACTAACGCAGCAGCTGGTCCGTGAAAACTGTATACTTTTAATAGTCTTTTAGCATATTCGATTGATTATAACAATCACATATGATGGATTTAAACTTATTTTATTAGGATTTATTAGACAGTTCTCACTGTTAAAGAGGAAAGTATCTTTGTTATCACATTACAAACAGCTAACATGACTCATTAACAGACACCTTTTAATCCACTCTCTGTAAACGTCAAACGATTTTAAACATCGTGTTTAGCAACAATTCCTTTGGTCGCGCGACAGCTATTAGAGTCGCTGTCAGAAGTCTGGATAATGTGACGACAGTTAGTTTCTTCTTAATTTTTCCGCTTTAGTGGGTTAAAAGTGACGGAGTCTGACCAACGCAGTACAAACATTTGCTGTCATGGCCGCAGCAGGGCCATAAGGAGGTCTTTAAAAGAAAAAAAGCAGATTCCTTACCCGAAGCCTGGTTACAGTCCTACAGTAAGACGCCATTTTGTAGTTTCTTCATAGATGAATGTCGCTTTGTTTTTACGTCATCGGCTAATCCTGACGTTGGAGAAATATGTGCGTTCTGTTTGCTCTGTTCTGTTCTGTTAATGTCGCACTGGAGCCACCGTTAAGAAAATTTGAGGAAGTGTAAGAACTAAAGTTGAAAAGTCAAGATACATATTTTGTGTGACTGAGTAAGTTACCAATAAAGCTTTTGAATCTTTGAATAAATGTTAAAAAGTTAAGAAAACAGTCGGAAGGATTTTTCCATAAAGTCCAAATTAAAAACAAAATTATTTGATACATCAAGAAATAACAAGACATTTTATTTTTAAAGCTAATTATTCAAGCATTAACAAGTTGAAAATTTGCAAATTGAAGCAATGGGGCTGTGTCTTTGATTTTTTTTTTTTTATATTTTGTCTATACATAATTCAAACAACTCCCCTAAACTATATTATTTTCATGACCAAGTCATTGCTGACACGGTCCTTAGTTTAAAACACAACAGTTATCCATATAATTGTTTCAAATAGACAGCTACATTATGGCTATTACAAAATTGGTCATAGCTGTCACAGCAGTATATCTAAAACGTTCCTGTCTGTGAATGCTTTGTTTCCTTTCGGGTTGGGTTGTACACAGGTAGTCACAGTTTTTGCTAGATCAAATAATTTGCATACAAAGCTTACAAAGTACAAACTGTACAATCAAGCACACATTTTAAAACTGCACAGATTTTAACTCACAACTGAAAGAAGACTCAGCTTTTTTAGTTGCTTATTTGAATGTTCGTCATAGTAATAGTAGGTCAAGTATCAGTAAAACCTATGTAAGACATAAGAATGTTAAAATCTGCATACAGTTATTTTATTGTACTTATATTTAATAATCAAATGCTTGTTTCTGAGTGTGTTTGTGTTACAAATAAGGAGGCAACCCATGGATTCAAGCAAGTTTGGGATCATGTGTAAATAAAGGGAAATTAAAGACATTCTGTAGATTTTTTTTATTTAAAACATTTTGCTGTAAATTGTTCAAAAGAAAAATAATTATAAACTTATAAATATGAAGACAAGTTGCTCTGAATGTTCCAACAAACGTGACAGGAAGCACCTAAATTGTCGTTCTTGCTACTTTTTATCTAAAACTTCATTTCCCACAAGCCCCACAAGAGACAGGTTGCTTTAACTGCTGCTGGCCAATAAGCTGCAAGTCCTTCTACATGCCAGCCAATGGCCACTCTGTTGCTATCACTACTTATATTTTTAGTAAATTGTTTAGCAGCAAGGGTAACTACAGATGTCTCTCCGCCACATAAAGTAGAGCCCGTAACGATGGTTTTCGGTACAATAAAATAGCTAAGGGTTTTAGCGTATTTTTAATCATGTTTATCGACGTGGTGTGTTGAAAAACAAGATTTTTTTCTTATTCAAACAGAAGATCCATTTGATGGCTACTATTGAATGCTAACTGTCAACTAACCGTCGTAAGCTAAAGGTAATAAAGTAGTTCTGCCTTTTAATTGGGATATGAAGAAAGTAGTCCCTGTCGTCAAGGGGGTGTGGGCGAGTCACAGTGTATAAATACGCCGGACTGTCAAACAGTAAAGTTTCAGTGGAGCCAAAGAGTAAGATGGAGTCGAGAAGGTAGACAGTCCTTTGAATTCATAGAAGTTGTGGGACGAGGAGTTAAACATGACGTCGTTATGAAAAATCTCAACATTTTAAACCCGCGAACTTTGTTCTGAAATCAGACATATCAGGCGGAAGAATAATACAGAGGAGTATACGGCGAGCTCGCACATCAGTGCCATCAGTCTAAGGTGAGTATTTAACCGTCACCAGGTGGACGATGGGAAATTTCAGTGTCCTTGCAGGGTTTATAAATGTTCTGGTGTTTTTCCGTCTCGGGCTAAAACAGACTGACTGTCGCCACAGCTCAACGAATAAAGCAATTGTTATAGTCCTGTTACAGGTAAACATCAGCAGCACTGGGCACGTTTACGGTCCCTTATTGTTGATTCTGGCAGCCTCTCATTCATTCTTCGCTTGTACCCTCAAAAGGCTGATCGGCACTCAATTAGCTTATATAATTTAATTTCTACTCACATTATTATAATCCTAAACCAATGTCTCTGCTGCAATGCCTTATTACAAACATACAGCCCTAATATCCAGGTGCTGCCTCTTTATCTCATACTAGCAAACCTAATATATGTTCTTTTATTGCACCTTTGTCTTATTTATCATTTTTATATGCAAATTATTTCAAAAGCAAAGTATTGGGGGGGGGTTATATTCAGTTAGAAAAGGTGCATTTGGAGGCAGGCCTCTTGTGAAAATAGCCTTCAAAGGCAACATCTCTGCAAGGTGTTTTTAATGTAAGAAAAGGCTGCAGTTTGCACATTAAATGCTTGTGCTGCTTAGCAGTTAGATCCTGACATGTTATAAGTGTTTAGCAGCTTGGGCTGTTCTCATTATGGGCCTATGTAATCAAAAATAGCACCACAGATCCTGCTGATGCTCGGATCTGCAACAACAGGCCCCATAAAAACAAAAACAGCTCTTTTAGATCTGCCAAATTGGTCAAATGAAATGTGCACTTGCAGGTTTTTCATTTGTGTTGCTGCGTGATCTGGTTTGTGTCCCATTTTCATTTGTCAGATAGATGCAGAATGCAGCAGAAGGTTTAGCTGTTCATGCACTCGGTGTTTCCACTGATGATGGCTTTTGGGAGTGATGGAGTACTGGATCCTTCAGCTACTCCAACTCATTTTAATCAAATGGGTGGAAATGATCTTGTTCCACCTATGATATAAATCTGAGCCCTATTTATAGCTCCCATCTTTTCATAGATGTCACGTGAAAAGTAAAATTTAAATCTCCTTCTCAGTCTGGCAGGCTCTAACGTCATTAGAATTATCGTTAATCTGTGGTGTCTTCCTAATCTTAGCTGCTGAGTCCCCAACTGGCTTAAAGGTGAACATGATGAATTGTTTCTGTGTGAGTGAGACAGTTCAGAGTGGTGGAAGGCTCCCATTGCATGCTGGGAAGTTGTGTTCCATCAGCAGAATGTCTTGCCGTTTTCTACCCCCTTAAATTTGCATAGATCTTTGGCTTTTTTTTAACCAGATCTTTTTTTGGGTTTGCATCTCCATGTTGATGGTGTCTCTACACTGAAGCGTTGAGATGGAAGCACTTTATGGGATTACATTTAGATTATACACGATTTCTGGAGCTCAACAAGGCAGCATCTGTTCCGTCCATCAGGGCCTCCTGCAGCTCATCGACTTCAACCGTGAAAACAAATTCACCAAACGAGACTTCAGTGGGAGGATTTTTGCTGAAGGAGAGCTTTGTGCATTAGAGAAATAAATACAAACCTTTACCACCAGAATACGAACAAATTCAAATTCAAAAATACTTTATTCATCCCAGAGGGAAATTGATTGCCGTTAATAGCTCAGAATAATAATAATAATCAAGTCATCAAAGAGTTGTTGTATATTACAATGGCTTTTGGCAGGAAGGATCTCCAGTAGCGGTCAGTGTTGCAGCCAAACTGAAGAAGCCTCTGACTGAAGACACTCTTCTGTTGTCGGACAGTCTTGTGAAGAGAATGCTCAGGGTTGTCCATCATTTTCTTGATTCTCTGGAGAATCCTTCTTTGCATTATCTCCTCCAGTGGTTCCGAAACTCTGGCCGAGTTCTTGAAAGGGCTTGGAGTTCCTCCATCTTGTTGGCCAGTGATCTCACATTGCCCATTATGATCGATGGAAGAGATGGTTTGACTTTCCTCTTTCTCTGTCTCCGTTTTGCTCCCACTCTGCACCCACGCTTCTTGCGTTTTAGCTCATTTGAGATTTGTGGCTTCAGTTGAGGTATTATTTCAGCCTTTCCAATGTTAATCAGCTGCTCCCGATTGTAAACAGCTTGTTGCCATGGTTACGCATCATAACAAATGCTCAAAAAGTGACAAAAGCTAAAAAATAGCAGTAAAAATCCTCCCAAGCTTCACAGCACCAGAAACGGAAAAGTAGAGTGTCCAAAAAAATAGTTTCTCTTGAAAAACTAGAAGAAAAAATGCCCAAGAAAAGGCTAAACTTGCATATAGTCAACAGAGCTACTCCCAACATGCAGCCACCCAGAGCAGCGCAGTTTCGGAAAGATCTGACTTAAACTTGGCTCTATGTCTGTCTAGGATTTCTTGATGTTCTCGGTAGTCTGAGAAATGTAAATGAATGTTTTTCTTATGTTTTCACAGTTGGGACATCTAAACGGGATTAACAAGGACCTGCTGCCTTTGCCGTGATGAAGCTAAAAGAATCAACCACTTTTCAATAAACCGGTGGTACAAACCTTCTTCGGCTGCTTCAGCTGCCCTTTAGAACCACTGCTTAGAACATTTTGTTCCCACAGCGGCTCCATCCAGGTGCAGCCATGCATCTAGAGGTGAAAGTTGCCCTGAACTTCATTGTGTCCTACCTGTACAACAAGTTGCCTCGCCGTCGAGCTGATCTGTTCGGTGAAGAGCTGGAGAGGATACTGGTTTCTCGTTTCGAGGGACATTGGTACCCAGAGGCCCCGCTCAGAGGTTCCGCTTTCCGGTGCATCCACTTGGGAGCGCCGAGTGACCCTGTGGTGGAGTTGGCGGCCAAAAGAAGTGGACTGGACATGGAGGAAGTCCGCGCAAATGTTCCAGCAGAGCTCAGTGTGTGGATAGACCCTTTTGAGGTGTCCTACCAGATTGGAGACAAGGGGGCAGTGAAGGTGCTTTACCTAGAGGACCCCCCAGGCCTTGGTTGTGACAGTGAGAGGGCTGAGGGGGAGATTAAAGAGGGGATAGGGGAAGCGGAGTTGGATGAGTCTAAGAACCTTTGCTTCAATCCTGACGCTCAGGTGTTTGTGCCAGTAGGAAGTCAAGCATCCCCTGCCCTCATGCCGTCCCTCTCCAGCTCTCCCACACCTCCGTCTGCTCCGTCCTGTTCTGGGTTCTTCAGCTACCCAAGCTCCAGCACACCCACAGACCCCGGGGTCCACTCTTCCAACACCTCCACGCCGTCTCCTCCGAGCATTGGGCTGCCCTTCCTCCCCGCTCAGCAGCTGCCCCCTGCTCTTCCTCTTGCCCGACCACAACCCATCACCTTCACCACCGCCAGCTTTGCTGCCACGAAATTCGGCTCCACCAAAATGAAAAAGTGCACCGTGGCCGGGCCTGCAGCTGGCCCGGGTGTCATCGTTCCACCTTCCCAGAGGATGCTTTCCCAGTCTCCCACCACCATCCCGACTCCAGAGCTACTCAAGCACAAGCCCCTGTCGTTGTCGTTGCATTCCCTCGGCGGTCCCGTCCCCAGCCAGCTCTCTCCTAGCGCCAAAGAGTTCGTTTACCCAGGATCCCCCGGTTACTTCGACACCGACACCCAGCCCGTGCAACCTCACTCCAGCCCTTTCCAGCCCCCACACACAGTCGGCACCACCCCGACCTTCGACCCGTTCTCCAACCCTCCAGCTCCAAGCGTGGGTATAATCGGCAGCGACGGAGGAATCTCTTACACGGAGAAGCCGCCGTTTGATGGTTTGGGAAGCTACGGCCTGCAATATCCCAGCCAGTCTTTCCAGCCCGTGGTGCTGGCCAACTAAGCCTTCACTTGGTACAGGAATGGTTCATAGAGAGTTGGACGATGATGATGATGATTTCTAACAAATTGCTCAAAGGCTAACACACGTCAGGAAGTAGTTTTACTACAAAAAAGGAACTTGCCCACTGAATACTTCACGTTTTTGTATCTCCGTAAACCTCAGTCCCACCCTTCCCGAGTCCATTGTTACTCCTCAGCACTTTTGTCTGCGTTGATGGGAGAGGGTGAGTTTGCATCGACCTTTTAGATCTCGCTAATCTGACGGGCGTTATTTTGCACTGAACGTTGGCGCGGGAGACATTTATTTGGCTCGTATTTTAGTGGACATAACTCCGGTATAGCTCCATTTTGCACTGCGCTGTCATGCTGTGAAAAAGGACTTTGCCAAGTCCTGCAGGGAACGACTGCTGTGGAAAACTCAGCACTTTGCCCTGCAATCTGCTCTGCCCTACTTGCCACAAATACAGAAAAGAGGAGATGGAGGGGTGGGGTGGGGTGGGGTTTGCTGCCGTCTCTGTGCAGTCCTGCTCTGTTTTGTTATGGCTCCATCAAGGGGCTGCTGGTTGGAGGATGATCTTTAAATCGGCTGCAGCGTCCATTCCACCTGTTTTGAAATGATGCCAGAGCAGAGGAGCGGCTTCGCTGAGTTGGAAAGTGACAATGAAGAATGTATCACGGGGGGGGAAAAGCTGTTTTTGAATGTGAAGGATGAGTTGATCTGCGTTTTAGACGATGACCAAGTGCTGATACCTCAAACACGCACACAGGGAAACAACCAGACACTACATGTATTAATGTTTTCATCCACGATGTTCCAGGCAGCAGCGTGTGAAGGTGAAAAGGCGGAGAGGGGGAGGGGATGCAGAAGCTGAGCTGTAGGGATTGTGATAAATAGCTTAGCATGACTTTGACTATGAAGGAGAGGTTTTTCCTCCGCATGGACAGGAGGGAGGGAGACCGGGAAACCAGGGAGAGAAATGTCTAGATGGTTCTGCGCCGATCAGGATTGAAAAGGGACGCGTTGAAACTCCGAGCACGTTGGTGGTATTGAAGCCAAAGGCTCTCGCTATTCTCTCCATCCTCTTGAAATTCTCCAGCTGTCTGTTTCTGTTGCCGGGGGGGGGGGTACAGTCCGGGTTACTTTGTTCCCAGCTGCAGTGATGTGAACCAAAACAGAGGTTCTCCACTACTGCAGCTTCACCAGGTATCTGAGACTCCGTCCTAACATTGTATATTTAACAGCCGGGTCGGATGTCCCCACAGGGACGTTTGAGACGTCCAGCTGTTCAGCACTTTACTAGCGGGCATCCCGATGTCCCCACGTTAAACCGTCCCTTCATCCTCCACCTGGTCGGCCGTTGCACATTTTAAACACTTTAGAGATTAAGAGGAGATGAATTCCCGTCTCACCACGGCGGTAACAAGATGCCGTCACACCTTTTTATTCTTGGTCGTTTTCCAGACTTGAGTTTAGCTTTTGGCTTTTCTGATGCGACGGTGTTTTCTTTCTTTATTCTGAAGGGAAGGTGTTGACATGTTTTAAAATGGTACCGTTTTCCTGGAAGATGTTCTTTTTCATAATTTATTTCTAATATTTCTTTTTTTTTTTCACTTGGGTTTATATGAGATTGTGACTCCAAAATATGTATATAAAGCTTTCTGTAGTTTCTTATATCCTAATTTTCTTTTTTTCCAGAACTTAAAAAAAAATATGCAAACAGACAAAATAAAGATGTACAGAATAAAGTACTGAATGTTTATTGTACCTTTTCACAGTGTTGATTAAGACGGGTAAATGTATACTACTGGAGCTGGGAACTGAGAAGTGAATGTTTACAGGAGGGTTGTCATGGAAACGATGGTGGATTTCACTCTCGTATGCATAAGTGAACCAAAATAATCTTAAATCCAGGTTTGATTCTAGTTTTGCATATTTTCCTCGTTAAATAATAGATTTATCTAGTCAAATTCAGTTTTTACCGTTAAAGTTTACTACTTTTAAATGTTAGTCAGGACGTAAAAGAGCTTTCCACATTTTTTAGAGCATCTTTAGTGTAATCTCATGCCATATTTTCAAAGAGTCTAAAGTTTGAACCTCACTGCACCTGGACAACTAACTCCATACCCCTGTTTTCTCCTTGTTCCAGATATAATTATAAACCTGAGTTTACATCAGGGATTTACAAACTTTTCAAGACTAGGTTCAAAATCATGAAGTTAGAACTCCCCGTGGGCCACAAAAATAACATTTATTTTTTTAAGAATGCATACATTTTATATTTTTTGTTTGTTATGATCAAAAAGGGCCTAAAATAAATGTATTGGTAAAGAATTTAACATAAAATATTAAAATATAAATTTATATCAACAGCCTTCTGGGGAGCCGTAATGTTTTGGATGCATCCCAGATGCCTGAGGTCATGCCTATGTTTTACTCACACTTCCAGTACGCATCAAGCTCCACCCGTCAGACGGGTGAACAGGAAGTCAAACACTAAAGCAGTAGTAAAACATCCAGGAACTTTAAAAATAAAAGTCACATGCAGTTGCTTAAAGAGCAAGTCACCCCCAAATCAACAGTTTTTTCCTTAAAACTATACAAATGCGTGTCTAATCGTGCTGCAGACACGTGAAGTCAATAGTTTAGCACTTCAGTGCATTTTAGTTAAAATTTTAATTTTCTGCCTAAAATTCAGTGCTGTGCTGTTGTCAGGTAAAAACTCTGCACTGCATTTGAATTTAAATCTGCCATCGCTATTGGTTAGAGGTACCCTAGAACGTTATCTGGTACCATATGATGTCACAATGTCGTTGTAGGCCTGTGTGTGTGTGTATTAGCGGCTATGTCATCTCGGTCTGCTAGGCAACAGCGTTTGTTGCATTTTTCAAACAGGAAGTGAGGGTTGAGTAAGAACCTGGTAGGGGTGACTTGCTCTTTAATTCCACAATTCTAAAAATGCTAATGGGGGGCCACGCAAAATCACTCCGAGGGCCACAAATGGCCCCCAGGCTGCACTTTGGACACAACTGGCTTAACTTTAACCCTCAAATATGCAAATCAAGGTCTCAAATTTAACCTCCTGAGACCTGAGCTTTCTTTAGAGCACATTTTAATTCCACTTAGCTGTCTGGGCGGGACCTCGCAAACATTAAAATCACTGTTTTTTGTTCAAAAGCACATTTATTTTACCTTCCTAAAGTTGAAGGTCTCTGAATTATTAAAACGTCTTAAGTTGATGACACCTCCTTGCATGATGAGGCAGGGTTTCAGGTGGTTGAGGTAAAACTCATGGTGGTTTGAGCAAATTTGAATCCACTTTAAATGGAAGAGATTTGACACGCAGGGATCAGAAAGATGGGAAGAAGAATCCTGATGTCTTGTTTATGGCGTGCAGTTGATTTTGCACTTTGGAATATTTCATTGTCATGAGAGAACTTTATTTTTTTGTAAAAATGAACATTTAAAAGTAAACTAGATGTAATTAAGAGTTCAGATGAGATGTGTAGTGTTCTGTTTCCTGCCTGTGTTTCTTTCCTCTGGTTTTGTATCCGATCTGTACTCCATGTAGATGTCCAACTCTTTCTCAACTCAAATGCAATGACCTGTTTTCTGTGCTGTCCCTCTTCCGGGGGGTGGGGGGGTGTTACCACTGCAGTTTCTTATGGTATTGATTCTTTTTTTAAGTTTATAATAAAAACCAGGCTGGACGAAGCGAGCGTGGAAAACCTCTTGTCCTCATTTCTTCTGAGGTAAATCACCTTTAGGGTGTGGAACGTGTTTGAGATTAGATTCGAAAGCAGACTCATGAGAAAAGCGGCAGATGGAAAAGTGCGGAGCGGCCTGTTCTCGTGTTGCAGTAAACAAATGCAGGAGAGGTGTGATCAATAATTCAAAGTAAGAATTCTTAGATGGAGAAGAGCCAGTCTGCTCACCGCCCACTTCAGCTGGACTCATCCCAGCAGATATTACTTTACATTTCATCAGCCAGAGCTCCATCTGTCTGTCTGTGCTGTGTCTGCACCAAACTTTTGGATCACTCATCTGATGCTCACATTTACCCTGCTCTGTGTTCAGATGTCTTTAATGCATTCGTTTGCAGCCTCCACTCCATCCTATAGCTCTCTTATCCTGTCACCATCGACATATAAATATTGGACAATGGGTTTCCATAGACTCCAATAACAAGTTTTTGAAGAAAAATGGGAGGTGGCCACCACCGCCATTTTGACCGTGTCACAGGTTCCGTCAAGCCCAGTCAATTCCACAAAAGGGAAGAGAGGTGGAGCTGAGGGTGGGGCTGTAAGGCTGGGATCAACTGACGACACCCAGTCGAACTAACTACAAGCTAACCTGAAGCTAACCCAAAGCTAAAGCGGAGGTGGGAGCTAAGCTAACGCAGGTAGCAACCTAGCAACCGGAGTTAACTGTGCACAACACCAGAGCTTCTGAGTCAGAGATAAAAAATGAAGTGGAGACTCCTTGGACGCTCTTAGTGCAATTAATGCCACAGCAAGTCATTTTGTCCAACAATTGCACAAAAAATATCCAAAAAGAACGCACTAACGCTACAACTAATGGCCTAAGTTGAGAGACTGAAAATGACCGAACAGTTTCCAGGCCAGACCGAGGCTCTACTGAGACCTTCCCCCGGAGCTAGCTCTGTGGTCACGTGGGTCTGATGCTCATTAATTATACAGAATTTTAGGCTTTTAATACACTTAAACAGAAGAGTGAGAAAACAATTCACCCCCCTCAGAGTTGTCATTAGATCATTTAAACCAAAAACATGTTTTGGAACCAGGCTGTAAACATGCTTATTTCTGCTGTGAAATTGGTATTTTTAACATGGGAGTCAATGAGGATTTGCTCGCTTCTGACACCAGCCCCTAGTGGATGAGGGTGGAACTGCAATTTTTGGTACCTCCCGGTTGGCCTCAATTTTTGAGCCGCATTGTGGGGGCTTGTGATAAACTCATGATTTCTGCTTTAAGGATCAATCATCATTCAAATGAGACAAAGAAACTTTGTGATTTGTGATTCTGAGTTGTTACAAACATCAAAGAGAAGAATAATCTAGCCTGTTACAGTTCGTGTTAGTGGATGAGGGTGGAACTGCAATTTATTTCATTTCCGGGTTTGCTTCAATTTTTCACCCGCATTGTGGGGGCTTGCCTGTCACACACACACCCATCCCCACTGCTCTTTGAGGCTGCTGTTATGCAACACAGCTCCACTATGTGCCGATGTGATCATTACTAAACATCTCCTACTCCTCTGGAATACCGATGAGCTGCAAACAATGAAAGGAACGTTCAGACACAACTTACCAAAATCGGACCTAATTTTGCGACTTTTAAAGCTCCAGCTGATTCTGCTTCTCCAACAAACTGTGCTCCGTTTGTTTTTGTTTTTTCTTTGTCTCCTCACGCCTCCCATCAGCACCACTGCAGCTGCTCCGTGACGATGATGACTCAGGCGAGGTCAAAACAGACACGATATCATTAAACTGCACTTTATTTCATAAGCATTTAACAAGACATGGTTAAATCGTTACTACATAAGCAAGTATATGTTATTACAAAAACACTTTCATATAAAAAGAGAACAAAGAAAACATTAAAATGCTTCAAAAAGGATGTCCAGTATTGGGGATTTGGTAAAGAGAAACAAACTGTTCACTGATGTGAAGCACTTTAAAACAGCTTCTTGGCTCAGAACTTTAAAGAGCAAGTCACCCCCAAATTTATTATTATTTTTGCTGATAAACCATATAAATGAGTGTCTAATCGTGCTGTAGACACCTGTAGTCAATAATTTGGCACTTTAGTGCATCTTAGTTCAAATTAAATATTCTGCTTAAAACTGTCAGTGTTGTGCCGTCTCTAGGTAAAAACTCTGCACTACATTTAAATTTAAATCTGCCACTGCTATTGGCTAAAGGTTGGTTTATGCTTGACGTGTCCGTGAGGTTCGCACGGCTCTGCGCTACGAAATTGCGTCATTTTAACAACCACGCCCCTCCGCACAGCCCAAAATTTCCGCACTGCGCACCTAGGAAATTTTCTAACCACGCGGACGGTCGGACGCGAAAAAACATGGGGGACTGGCAAGAAGTAGTTATGGCAGAGGTTCATAAGTGCAGACATTTGCATGATTCAGCTCTCACCGTGATCAACATGTTAATAATTCTTGGAGAGAACTAGCTCGCACTGTCGGAAAAGACGAGGACGCTGTTAAAAAATGCTGGAATGCCATGTTGTAAACAACAGTAATTTCTACTTCTACTATGGTGTAGTGTTGGATGCATGCCGTAGAGCTCCATGCTGCCCCCTACAGTTTGGGAGAGTATTGGCTCACCGCAGAGACGAGCCGCATGAACCATCAACGCTGTGAGTTGTGAAGCGCGTTCCATCCGCGAGCCGCATCACCAAGCGGAAAGTGAATGCGTCAAGCATAAACCAAGCTTTAGAGGTACACGATAACGTTAGCTGGAACATTATGATGGCACAATGCTGTTTTGAGCCTGTTTGTGTGTATTAGTTAGCGGCTCCGCCCCCTCTCAGTCTGCCAGGCAACATTTGTTGCATTTTTCAAACATGAAGTGGGAGTGGAGTAAGTTGTTGAGGGTGACATGCTCTTTACTAAAGTCGTGACATTTAAATGAACTTATGCAGCTCAGTTCAAATCAGACAGATACAGTATCTACTCTGCGTTTTGCTGTATGCAGATGACATGCTGTCCAGTATTTGCAATTTTCCCAACCTATTGCATAATGAAACTTGTGCACACCTGTTAGCTACTGATCAAATCTTTCCATTTGGAAAAATGACACTGAAATGTCACGGACAAATGTAATCCTTTTAAACCAAACATCTGCAATAAGTGCTACATTAAATGTTTTAGCCAAGACAAAGAATTTTTTTAAACAGTCTATACCAAAAACACAGGTTGGTTTGACAATTTTTTCTAATAAAGTCTCAATATAAAAGGTGCTTCGCATCAGAAAAACAAAGAAAGGATCTGCTACACTTTATGAAATATATTTTTAAAAGGGCCTCTTTTGCCAGAACTTTTTAAAATTCCTGCCAAATAAAAAAAAAAGTTCACTCATCTGTTGTCTAAACTGGATTAAATTGAATGTCAGTGCAAACTGAAACAAAAAAGCTTTAAGATGTCTCATATTACACCGTCAGGTAACACAAAAGCACCAGCTGATCCAGTGTTTGTAGGCCAAATTCAATCTACAGAGTTCCAAGATGCTGTTCGCCTTTCCCCCCTTTCCTGTTGTCAGACCCGTACGGCATGCCATCAGCCCGGCCGTCCACAAACGTCTCCAGCTTTCAGCGATGGGTTGCACACATAAGTACACTTGGTGTAAAAACTCACAGGTAACTAAAGAAAACAACTTCACCGGATTTCATGCATTTGGGATCCTTAACAAGATACAGGATCTAAACTGGAAGCACATATGACTTTGGGACGTTTCTATTCAGAACATCATAGCAAAGTTTACATACAACATCACCAAAATCAAACATTACACAACAGAGGGTTATTGCCACGTTCATTTCTTTCCGAGAATGCAGTGACGGAAAAATGTGCATCAGCAAAGACACTGAAAACGTAGAAACGCCTAACAGTCAGTAAAATGTTTTTATTCGCTCACAAACGGCCACTTTGGCAAAAAGAACTCCCCTTTGTCATCTTGGATTCAAAAAAATCTCAGCTGCCTTTTTAAGTGCTCTCTGCCTCAACCATTAATGCTTTTGTAGCCCTGCCTGACTCAAAAAGAGGAAGAATTGGGACAAGAAATCAAAACAAATGACCGTATTCATCTGTTTTTAAAAAACACCTCACGGCACAGCTTACCCATTAAATCCCCTGCTCTGTTGTTGGTCGTGTTATTGTTGTTCGCTGGAGGAATTTTCAAATGCGTCACAAATCAACCGATGTGTTATTTATTACCTTCAGAATAAATACAGCACTCTTTACTTGGCAAACATACTGTTGAGTTAATAAAGACCACGAGATATTTACAACGTTTGGGAGCACGCAGGTTTTGGGCCTGGCTACATTTTTATAAAGATAAAGAATCAACCTGGTGTCACTAAAACCTTTGGTAGGCAGATTGTGACTCTAGCGCCCTCTACTTGCAGTGAAATAAACATTTCTACTCATAAACATACCCCTCCACAGGAGAGGCCCCTGGAGATCCTCATCAGTTACTTTAAGTAAACCTTTAAAACCCTCCACGTGTTTTTTTAAGCACGTCTGAATATGCTAAGCTTTAAGAGCTACAGTCGCTAAAAAAAAATAGATAGTTCTCCCCCGTCTAAGGAAGCTACTGCATGTCTCACCACGTTTGTGAACAAGTGCTACGTGTTGTTCTAGATTTTGTTTTTTTAGAACGAAAAAGTGCAAAAATGGCGTCAATAACACACAAAACACTATGAGTTATTACTGTTTACGCACACAGTAGTTTTAAGTGTTTGTGTGCACACACACGTACGTGGGGTGGAGAGGGATGGACCTAAGCTGAATCAGACCACTAACCCCCCCCCCCCCTCTACCTTTCCTGTTTTCCTTCGGTACTGGACTCAGATCCAGAATCTACACCGATCAAACTCCTGCTCCTGTTCAGCCCCAGATTTTAAGTGCAACACACGAGAACGGGGATCCATGTTTGGAGTGTGTACTTCTGATTGAAGAAGCGCTGTGTGTGTGTCTCTTAAACCAGACTAGATAGCCTAACTTGAGCTAAACCCTATGTTCCATGTGCCTTTTGAGCACGGGGGGGGTACCCAGAACGGTCCACCTCTTCTCTGAGTGAAGGAGCCAGGCGCTCTCCACAGGCCCATCGCTCCCATCATGCCTCACTGCCTGTCCGTGCGTGTATCCAAAACTCCAGCGTCACATCAAGAGACAGCGACGGGAGGTCAGTGAAGGCGACAGTGCAAATTTAGGTTCCCTCTGTGTTTGTGTCTGTGTTGTATGTCTGCGGGGAAGGGAGTTCTCCTTCTGCCTCACTGATGCGTCATGGATTTCTGTTTTGTTTTTTTTACAGCGGGCCGTACTTAGCCTCGTAGCGGGCCAAGATGTTCTTACAGCGCCCACAGTCTTTTCGCAGCTCAGCAACCTGTTGCCTCAGCGCCGCGTTTTCCCGCTCTAGAAACGAAGCGCGCACCGTGATCTGGTTCTCCTTCAGCCGCCGCGCGTCACGAGAACGCTTTGCCGCCAGGTTGTTCTTCTTCCTCCGGGACCAGTACTTCTCATCCTAAGAAATGGGAAGGAAGGACACCCTCTCCATTAACTTCACTGGCATGTACCAAAACAGTTTTGTTAAGCCACGGAGCCAAAACTACCTTCTGCTCATCGGGAACAAACACCTTCTTGGCCTTCTTGATCATCGGCTGTGGTTTCAGCTCCTCATCAGAGAACTTGTGTTTGCGCGGGTTGAACAGCTCTCCTCCAGGGACGCTGGACAGGACTAGATCTGTGGGATCTGGCTGGAAGTTGATGTCCACCTCAATGGCATCAGGATCCACAGGGGAGGACGTGTTGCACTCTGTGGGTTTACAGTCCGAAGGCACAGAAGGAATGAGTTATTCTGAATACAACTAAGGACTCTCCAATGAAAAGATCCTTCAGTCTATCGACTCTCCGCGAGACCTGAAGCTCTTGAAGGATTTTGTCAGAACAGCTGTTCCACTTCTTCAGACAGCTAGATACACTAGCCTAATTCACAAGTGACACAAATGTGAATTTAATCTCAAGAAAAAACTAAAAGTAACATCGGTAGCAGGTTAGAGTGACGAATCGTCATCCTTCTTGCTTTGCAAACATGTATGTGTTGTGGGAAGTGCTCTAAGGTCTGGGTTTGACAGTGTGTGTGTGTGTGTGTGTGTGTGTGTGTGTGTGTGTGTGTGTGTGTGTGTGTGTGTGTGTGTGTGTGAGATCAGAGCAGCATAAACAACTGTAGCAGAGGCTAATAAGGTTTTTAATTCTTCCTTGATCTAACTCAGGATCTAAAATGTAAAATAAAAATGATATTTAGGGTCGGATGGGGATGTTTTATCTAAACTACGCTTAATAACCTTTCATTAATCTGGTTTACTTGCCTGTTCTTTTAACTTCTGCTTTGGCTGGTGGCTTTTTGGGCACAGCTTCCTCTTCCTGTTCTTCCTCATCCTCATCTTCCTCTAGTTTAGCAGGTTGCAAGGTTGTGACGGTCACAGGTTCTTCAGGTTCAGAGGTGGCCGCTGTGGGGGAAGGATCGGGAGCTGGGGTAGGGGCAGGAACTTCAGCCGCAGGCGTGGCAGGTGCAGGAGTGGGTGTGGAAGTTACTGCAGCAGCCAATCCAAGAAGTTTGGGAATGCATTTGCCTTTGCCTTCCACTGAAGCTAGAGTCTTCTGCAGCTCCTCTTCATCCAGGCTCACGGGGATGCCGTTCTCCAGGAGGAACTCATCCAGGTCCATGTACTCCAGGTGGAAGGTCTCCCCGTCATAAGGAATGGTCTTCTCCCAGATGGCAGGAGTCAGGGAGGCTGATACCCCTCCACTGCCGCCACTGCCACCCCCTGTTCCTCCTCCTCCTCTTGCACCTCCACCTGTACTGGATGCAACATCCCCACCCTCAATACTGTCAGGGGGAATCTGCTTCTCTTTCTCCAAATCTGGAAAAAATAAATTAAAAGATATCTCACTGTAGCAGCTGTCACTGAAAATAGTTGAAAACAGAGATCATTCATTTATGGAGTGAAAGAGGATTTTTAGTGCAATCTGACCAACATTCCTATGAAGAATGACCTGTCATCAGAGCCGACAGAGTTGGTGCATGAAGCGTGATGAAAGGCGCACTTGTTCCACATGTGCAACCCTAAATAAAAACCCACAACAAACAACCTAGGAACCAAAAAAGCCAAAGTCCGTGACACTGGCAGAAAGCCCAGAGTTGCCTCTATCTTTTTGTGTCTGTACAGGCTGACCTCACTGCTCTGAGACCAGCCCAGAGAAAAGGGAACTTTTTGTTCTTTTTCTGTTTCCTCGCAGCCTGGAGGCTACGCGCAACACATGGCTCATAAAACCACCCTCTCACCACAAAAACGACCACTTTTTACTGGAAAACACGCGTTTTAATAACCCTGCGTGCATTAAAAATTCGATTCTGTGGTTTCAATATCCGTCAAGCTGATTCTGATTCAGTTTGAGCTTACCGTCGTCGCCCTCCTCCAGGATGTTAGGAGGAGGGATATCCATGATCTTCTTCAAAACAAAAGGGAAAGACTTCTGCGGAGCCGCCGGGACCTCGTTAGGACCGAGCTGGGGTGCCAGAGCTACCGCTGCTTCGCCGGGCATTGTTCTTACCGAGGGGACCGGGGCTGCGTCGGCAACGTGAGCCGGACCAAAAAAGACAGAAAGGAACAAGCACTTGTCCGCGTTTGCTACCGCTGTCGGTGTCACCAAGTGAATAAAAACGCTAAAAATCGAGCAAAATCAACAGCACTCCACTACCTCGCGCCCCGTGCCCACCGAGCGTTCTCATTGGATATTCATGAGTCGCGCGCCACGCCTGCTGATGAAATAGTAGAAGCTGATAGGTTGTCGCAGTTATCAATTTGACTATATGTGTCCTAGCGGTTCCTTATATGGCTCTGGCAGCTCCAGATACGTCACGTGAGCCTCAAAAACATAAATTTATTCAAACACACACGAAAAACAACGCTAGTTCGGTTAAAAGGCTAACACATTGTTTTGAATTTACAGTATCATTTTATTGGCTAAGACTATCGAGTGACAATACATAAACCTCCATCTCTCCGGACTGACTACAAACTGAGCTGCGCAGCAGCCCCAGAAACGCAGGAAGTCTCGCTTCTCCACCTGCAAGAACCAGACACTCGTGGCCAAACACGTGCGTTCCGCCTTCATCCGCCCTCACGTGAAAGTACAAGCTGTCGAGGGGCGGGACTTTGGAGCTACTGCACGTGCAGGTCAGTGAGAGCAATGAAACAGCAAACTTGAAAGTCAATCATTGTTCACCAATTACGTGGACGTTTAATGGTTTTTGTAGCATTTTTCGTGCGATTTTTGTTCTTTATTTCTAAATCATGTTTACTTCCTTCGCAAAACACGTGATTTCTGAAGAAAACTGACTTCACGTACAGCAAAATGAACAGGTGGCATTGTGGGACTTGAGTTTCTGTGGGCGTTCAGGAGCTCATGATTTGATCTGTCTGAACAAAACATTAGATGTTTACAGCAAATCCCAGCTGTCGTGCATTTTTACACTCAGCAGTGGGAAATGCATGACTGCCTGATCATTTTATCATTTCTTTTCCCAAACAGAAAAACTCAACTAGGAGAGCATTTGACTGGCAAACAAAAAAAAATAAGCTTTTGCATTTGGATCTTCTAAAACACAGGAGCTGTTTGCGTTGTTCACTAAGAGAAAAAAATACTTTTAAACTTAGTGCATGTCAAATAAGTCAAAAACATACAGTAATAGTTCAGTGTTTTACTATATGTTGTGATATACAGTAGTCAAAATTACTGTTATATTACATATGAGACAAGAATGTTGATTTTTGTGCAGGAATAAAAGTAAATGTTTTGATTTTCCCATTCCAAAAGTTCATGAACTTAAACAAATGTGTTTATAACATGAATAAGTGTGAATGTTTGCACATGTGTATTTCAGTAAGCTCTTCCAAATGATGTGACCGTCTTTCATGGTGCTGTTTAAGTGACAGAAAAAAAATTCACATATCATAACATGGGTACATAGTTTTTTGCACTTTTGCCTGAAGCTTTTTTTCCCTGGAGCTGTCCGGTGCTGAAATGGCTTCACGTCAAGTATTGTTTGACAATATTGTGCCAAGGTTTGACCTAATTTCACACGTGACCGATTTCCCATATAAGAGGATGGCAAATAGACAGCATCATTTAAAAGTTGTAAAAAGTGTCTGCACTGATCTTTAGGAATCTGTAGAAGGTATTTTGTGCCTATGAAGCCCCTTCAGAAGGAATCCAACAGTCCTCATCTGCCCAATCTGATCGGACTGATGGTGCAGCTGATCTCCAAATTCAAGCAACTTGAAAATTTAAAATCTTCAACAACTAAATGGTCTTTGAACATTACGCACCAGAGACATTCAGCTTGTATATCAAATGCCTGGGGTGCATTAAGAGGAATCACATTTAGGCTGTTTTGGGATTTTTGGCTTGTAGGCGTTTCGGGGTGAATTTAAAAGTCTATTTGGTCATAATCTGAAGAAATTGTCACAAACAAAAGGAATTTAAAAATTAAATACTTAGAGTAAAACACACATGATGAAACTCTGAGTGAAAACGTTTTCGGTGTTAGTGCATCAGCTGCTGGCTGTCCTGTGGTGAACCCATAACAGACAAGTTATCTTATGCCCCTGCAGACTTTCATTGCCTAAACATGTCTCGTTGTCTCATTTCTACATTTTTATAGTCATATAATCAGAGGTTAGGATAATAATTTACTGAATGAGTATTATTGTTTGCACCTGACTAAAAAAAGCAAAACAACACCTATTTTACATATGATTTTACACAGAAAAGTCAGCACAAACTCAGACTCAAACCTTTAAAAGGAATAGATGGTAACTTAATAAAAATGGAATAATATTAGAGTGCATATTTGCATTATTGTAACTTTAATTCCTTTAGCTTCCTGTTCGGTTATTATTGATGTAGAATGCAAACCTCCTTTAGTTGTGTCAAATGGACAACATTTGGAGTAATATACAAGTGAACACTCGTGTAGGATATAAATACTTGAAAAAAGTGTTTATTTTTAGTTACATTACAAATCTTTTTAAAGTTACTCATAAGTTACAAGTGCTAAATGTGTGTAAAAAATTAAATGTGGCTCAGTGTTTTGGTTTTAACAAATACAGAAAACTCGAAATGAAATATTCTCACCAATGTCGTCAAAGGCAGAGAATGGGAAGGAGTAGTCGGCTAAGGCCTTCAGGAGATCAGGAATGTCGCTCCTTTCCTCGTCGAAGATTTGGTTGCTTGCAGACATGATGAACGTTCAGCTAAACTCCAGACCAGCAGTAGATCAGATGCTCAGGACCGGGTTTGGCTTCACCAGAGGACTTGTGTGACTTTTCATCAACTTATCAGCATCACGGGGATGTCAGCATGAGTTTAATCATCAACACAAGTCACACCCACTTTCAGTCTTCAATTTTAATGGAGTATAACTCGGTCAATCAAACCACTGCATGAGTGAGCAGGAGGGGGCGGGCATTCTCAATCACAACAACAAGGTTTTCCAGACAGCTTCTGTGCAGAATGCATGTCAGCACGTGCAGTGCCCAGCTGATTTCTAAACACACGCTGACATCTACTGTTGAGTTTATGAAATGCAACAAGCATGCTTCATGTGTGGAAGCCAACTGATGATCCTGACCTTGTTAGAAGTCCCTCTAAGACACTTTGTGTCTGAGACTGGACAAAAAACTATATTAAACAATGACAAAGAAACTATCAGATCGGTTAAATCAGAGTTTAACGAGACAATTGATTTTTACCCTACCAACCCATATTCACCAATATCTATGTTTACGTCAACATTTTGAATGGAATGCACAGCATTTTCATGGCCATCACCGTTTGTGTCACACAACCCAACCCAACAGCTCGTACTCATTCTTCTAGAAAATATTCAGATCATCTGCATGCTGAATAAAAAATAAATATTTCTGTGAAAGGGTTTCTGAACATTAAAGAGCAAGTCATCCCCAAATCATTTTTTTCCTGATAAAACTACATAAATGTGTGTCTAATCGTGCTGCAGACACGCATAGTTTTGCACTTTAGTGTATTTTAGTTAAAATTTCAATTTTCTGCCTAAAACTGTCAGTGTTGTGCCATTGTCAGGTAAAAACTCTGCACTTCATTTGAATTTAAATCTGCCATCGCTATTGGCTAAGAGGTACCCTAGAACGTTAGCTGGTACCATATCATGTCACAATGTTGTTGTGAGCCTGTGTGTGTGCGCGTGTGTATTTGTTAGCCGCTCCACCCTCTCTGTCTGCTAGGCAACAGCATTTGTTGCATTTTTCAAACAGGAAGTGGGAGTGGAGTAATACTCAAAAAAATCACATTTTTTTGTGCTGATAAACTATATAAAGGAGTGTCTAATCATGCTACAGACACGTGTAGTCAATAATTTGGCAGTTCAGTGCATCTTAGTTAAAATTCAAATATTCTGCCTAAAACTGTCAGTGTTGCGCCGTCGTCAGGGAAAAATTCTGCACTGTATTTGAATTTAAATCTGCCACCGCTATTGGCTAAGAAGTATGCTATGATGTCATCTGGTATATTATGATGTCATAATGCCATTGTGAGCCTGTGTATGTGTGTATTTGTTAGCGGCTCCGCCCTCTCGGTCTGCCAAGCAACAGCATTTGCTGCATTTTTCAAACAGGAAGTGGGAGTGAAGTAAGAATCTGGTAGGGGGTGACTTGCTCTTTAAAGATTCTTACTCAACTCCCACTTCCTGTTTGAAAAAAGCAACAAATGCTGTTGCCTAGCAGACCAAGAGGGCGGAGCCACTAACAAATACACACACTCACGACATTGTGACATCATAATGTATCATCTAACATCATAGTGTACCTCTTAGCCAATAGCAATGGCAGATTTAAATGCAAATGCTGTGCAGAGTTTTTACCTGACAACGGCACAACACTGACAGTTTTAGGCAAAATATTTAAATTTTAACTAAGAAGAACTAAAATGCTGAATTATTGACTACATTTGCCAACAGCACCATCAGACACTCATTTATATAGTTTATCAGCAAAAAAAATGTTGATTTGAAGTGACTTGCTCTTTAAAGAGATACTAAGCAGTTTTGCTTGCTTTTAGCACCCCCTAGTGTCTTATTAATTATCTGTGATCAAAGCAAAAAATTAAACTCTTCTCATCGCTGTGAGTTTGTCTTTTTAACAGCTCAATCTCACTGCTGAAATGTCATTATTTCCTAGACGTGCAACCCATCACTAAATCAAGCATATTGGCTGCGTTCACGATCTAAAGCACGCAGGAAACGTGCTGGAAGCAGACTCCAGCTCCACTCCACCAGCAGGGACCAGCCTGAAGTTGCAAGCGTGGCTTTCTGAGATTTCAGGGGTCGGTGGGGGTCTGACTGACATTTCATTAGTTTCATAGTACCCAGGATAAAATCCTACAACCACCAATAGATGCAAATGTTCACAGAGACCACTATGACATCATTAATAATCATAACATTGATAGCTTTGATAATAGATGTGATTAAACCCGTATTTCCTGCAGAAGACAATTCGTTTTCACAATGAGACCAACAGCATCAGACCACATGCTCATCCCTACATGTCCAGGCTCATGTTAAAGAAGTCTTCATGAATGTTTTTACTAACATTTATGTTTTTATTTAAAAAATCATAAAGCATAAAGGACAGAACACCTCATCTCATGAGGAAACCATTGACCTCCAGACTAATTCAGTGTTCATAACATTTCCACAAGAACACAAGTGCAGAATTAAAGGACCATCTGTTGTCCTCAGGCACACCAGCCCCAAAGTTCTCAGGTAACACTTTCACTCACATGCGTGTACCTGTTGAGACTGTCTGTGTGTGACAAAATAAATACATAAACAGATTAGTCGCAACTGTTCTGAAGAGCCTCTTTCATAAATAAACAGAAAAATTATATTAATCTTTAGCATTTAGATGTGAAAAATCAAAAGAAAACTCTGCGAAATCTCGAAGACCACGTTCACTCGTTTTTTTTCTACACGTATGCAGTGGTTTCTAGTATAAATCAATGCCTTGTGAGTCTATCTCAGCGGAAAAAAAGCTCTGGCGCTACAGTTTCAGGAACTAGAAGTTAGCCAGAGCAGAGGTGGCAGAAGACAGCAGACTTTGGAGTCTTATTTCCTGACACGCGAACATCTCACCTCCAGAGGCAGCGCCAGGAATTTCTACCTGCAGTTGCTTTACTGCTGCTCAGTGAGTGTATGGGGTCGCTGTTCTCCATCGGCACCAAATGAAGAGCGGGGGTGGAGCCTAAACACGAACAAGCACGCCCCTCATTGGTGCGGATTTTGGGGGGTGGGGGGTCCAGAGTTGGGATTGCTAAACCATTGCTTCACCTAATCAGGCTGTTGCTTTAGCAACCCCGAGCTACGGCCTGGCGTCACCCATGGTCGCGTCTGATGGTCCAACAGCAACACGACTCAACCGCTGCCTCAGTTTGCTCTGCAGTGTTGTTTTAGCTCTACAAATAACTCAAGTCTGAAGGACTTCTACCATGTTGTGTAGTTGCTAATGCTAACAGTTAGCTTCTACTAGCCGAGACATGCTCTGCTCTCTCCTGAATGCTAAACCAGCAACAGTCTTCGCAGCCGTGAACCAAGACGGATGAGTCCATGAACGCTAATTTAAAGTGTGACGTTGATCTGTGTGGCTTTTTCTGACCCACGTTTTTCCCCGTCTATTTTCTATCTGGAGCTGATACAGGAGATCGGGTGGATTATTTTCACGTTTCTGTGAAACCTAGCCTAGTGAACTAGACCAAATTCTTGCTTTGCAAAGAATGGTCTAGGCATGCTCCATTGGAACCTCAGCAGCTCCTACCAGGACTCTGGCTAGCCAATCACAGCTCTCTAGAGGGGTTTCAAACACATAAAGAGCTGTGATTGGTCCATAATGGTGGGCCAATCATAGTGCTCTATCTGCTTAGTGAACAAATCAGAGCTTTATCTGCTTTGTGGGCCAATCAGGGCACTCTATATGCCTGGTGGGTGGGATGATGCAACAGAGTGAAACAAGAGTATGTCACATTCTTTGTCCAGTGGAATGCGGAGATCATTTGAAAGACAACGGTAGAACCCGCCCCACAACCAAGAGCCGTCAATGGAGCGTGGCCACTAAATAATACATTTATTTAGTCTGGCTTGCCAGGCTATGTGAAACCCAGACTGAGCAATAAAAAAAAAAAAAACGTTCTCGGTTAACTTTACCTATAATTTTCAGTTCAAGTGTTGCACAAATTCTCAGAGGGACATCAATAAGAGCTTGATGCCCACATTATTAGGGCTTAATGTTCAAAATTTGGCCTATTCCTGTGTACACGTCACAACTTTCCCAATGTGGATTCTAATTCTCATCGTTGAATGACTCGTCACATGATCTAAGAATAGACGGGCCAACATTAACAAACAGCTTACCACATTCAGAGCAGATGATGGATCTGGTAACAGTGTTTAAACTCATTTCGATAGCTCTGCGTTCCTTCCAGTCGTCATTAGTTTCAGTTTCTGGCCCACACAGTGAGTGCTTGAGCTGATTCAGGGATGTTTACATCTTCGACCTCTTCTTCGCCCTCACTGACGTCAGTCTCTGATGAGTCGGATTCATGTTCGGGCGCCTTTAGATCTGATTTCATTGTAGTCTCCACTTCTCTGGAGTCCTCTTCAACAGCTTCTGCTTTCATCTGATGAGCTGTGCTGTTGGCTTGAAAACTTCCTTCTTCCATTTGTTGGTGATGAAGCTGTGACAACATAGATTTCTCTTCATCATCCTCACTCTTCAAAGGAGCTACAGTGAATGACAACCTTGTGGTATCAGTCTCCTTCCCACTGAGCTGCTCTCCCTCTGGACTGGACCTGGGTTTCTCCTCTTCCTCCTTGATGTGGAGGAGCTCTGGGTCCTGCTGGTCCACTTCAGGCCCACGATTCTCAGGAACTTCTTCAATCAGCACCACTTGAACATCTGCAGGGAGAACTGAAACACATGTATGTTTTGGACATTGGTACTATCACATTTACATAAATCACCCTGATGTCATTTTTAAGGTTGTTGATTGACTACAAACATCTAATGTTGAATATCAAAGAAGTCTCCTAAAACTAAATGCTTAAAAGACTCGTGGCAGGATGATGGAAAAGCAAATGGAACACACTCCTGAGCCTCCCTGCTAAGGTCTATTCAACAGTTCTGGAGAGGAGGGCCTGCCAGACATTCGAACAATGGTGCAATGTGGTCTTTGCGGGCTTATGTGCGGACGGACGGGCGGAAAACTTCCTTCTAGGTGGAGGACATCGGGGTGCTGCCATCTTCCGGTTTTATCTTTATGTGTGTTTTCCAAATCCCTGACATCTTCTTGTGTCCTGACCACGTTCTAGATACCCGCAGCATCTTCACACAGAACACCAGGCACATAAGCCCATTTTCTCACCACAGTCAGGTAGTGTTGTCAAAAAAATCGATACCCAGATATAAATCGATACTAAAAGTGGTATCTAAATTAGATATTCCATCCCTGTGGTATCGATATTATGGACTATTATACACAGCCTTCTTCACGTACACCGACACGCACGACAGCCAGATGCCGTAAAGCAGCCTCCGCCTCCCAGACAAACAGAAGAAGACGCCGCATGGCTACATAGCAATTTCCCACAAGAGTTGTCTCCGATCCAAGTTTTGTCCGCCAAATAAATAAACAAAAACATAAACAGCGAATTTGGGAGGCGCTTCACAGCCCAACTTAATTAGCATACCAAGTCCGACACGTAGTTGTATATTCACGCTTATGTGCTTAAAGGAAACTCCCGTTTATTGCAACCTGGACTTAATTTATAGCATGCAGTACGTTTGTTTACTCACGCTGACAACTTTGGTGCTACTTGGATTCCCCGGGGTATTTAGATCCATCGGCCACTCGCCATCAGTGTATATCCATATGACGGGTGCGGACGGGCACCCATGGTGCAGCCTCGAAATAAGACATTATCTGCACCAAAACATCTCCATGTCGAAAGGATTTGTTAGGAATCATTAACGTGATTCCCCTGTTCGTTTGGAGCGGGTCTGGGATTTCTAGGCGTGAACAGACTAGCTGCGGCTAATTAACCGGCGCTTTTAATGACGTCACTGCCGTGCGCCAATCTGTTTTTTATTAAGATTACCGGTAGATGTACCTTTGTCCTACCGTGGAGAAATTCGTTTTCTCCCTTTATTGACCAACAGAGTTGTTCAAAAGTACAGAACAAAACATATGGCATTACATCTTATGACAAAAATGCACCTTAAACAGAGTTTAAGCAGCAAAACATCACTCTGCAAATAGTGTATATATAGTGAGACAATTCATGATTTAAAGTGTTAACTTTCACCAGTTTTTGTATGCACGTTTTAAAAAATGCTGATACTTGAAATGTTTAAGCACTTTACACACTTAATTCTTAACATTTAATTTTTGCAATATAAATTGAGGAATGTCATTTTTTGAATAAACTTGTTCAATAAATTGGTGTTTTTAAATAGTATCGAAATCGAGTTTTTTTCCCAAGTATCGAATCGAGTTTGAAATTTTAGTATCATGACAACCCTACAGTCAGGTCACAACCCCCTTGGATGTTGTCAGGCTGCAGCTATGTGCAAGAACCTCGTGTTTCTACAGACTAAACATGTTTGTTCTCGTGGATGTCAAAAGTATTTTTGTAGAGAAGTCTTTGTGTATAATCTCTTAGCACATCAGGGCGAATTCTCATGCAGCTCTTTAAATGCGTCTTCTAGCAAAATCGTTGTTCACAAATGTTGTAACCAAGCATTCTCTTACCTGTGTGGCTTTTCATGTGTGCATTTAAGTGTCCTCTTTGGTTAAACCTCCGTGTGCAGACGTCACAAGCAAACGGTTTCTCTCCCGTGTGGATTCTCTGATGTGTGACTAAAGTTGTCTTTCGAGCAAATTTTTGTCCACACTCTTCACAAGGAAATGGTTTCTCTCCCGTGTGGATTCTCTTGTGTTTGACGAGGCTTGCCTTTTGGGTGAATCGATGTGAACACACGTCACAAGAAAATGGTTTCTCTCCGGTGTGGATTCTTTTGTGTTTGACGAGGCTTGCCTTTTGGGTAAATCTTTGTCCACAAGTGTCACAGTCGAACCGTTTCTGCCCTGTGTGGGTCTCCATGTGTTTGTTAGCCGTTGTCTTTTGGGCAAATTTCTGTCCACAAAAATCACAAGCAAACGGTCTTTCTCCTGTGTGGACTCTCATGTGTTTCTTTAAATTTGTCTTTTGAGTAAATTTCTGTCCACAAAAATCACAAGCAAACGGTCTATCTCCTGTGTGGATTATTATGTGTCTGTTTAAATTTTCTTTGCGTCCAAATTTCTGTCCACATACATCACAACCAAAAACCTTCGGTTCCGTGTGGATTATCATGTGTTTGCTTAAAAGTATTCTTTTGGTAAATCTTTGTCCACAAAAATCACAAGCAAACAGTCCTTGGTTGTGGATTCTCGTTCTCTCTTCATTGTCTCCAGTACTTAGAGGAACTGCAGAGCACATAAGCTCGGTGTCATCCATCTCCACCTTCACATTTGCAGGTTCGCCCTCCAGACTGGTCCAAATTTCCTCCTCCTCCTCTTCCTTTTTTATGTGGATTGGGTCGGGCTCCTCTTGGTCCACATCGAGCCTCCATTCTTCAGGAGCTTCTTCTTTGATCAGCACCATCTGCTGAACATCTACAGGGAACATTAAATCCGTTATAGAGCTTCATAGACATATGCATTATAGACAAAGTGACTTTTATAATCACACATCAACTTGTGTTGTTGCTGAGGTGACGTAGTAAACTGATTACACGGTTTGACTGTCAAAGCAACAATCTAGTGACAGAGCATCAAATCTGACTGAAGCATCATGACAGACACCCTGAAGACATTGATAAATGACGCACTGCATGTAGTTATTATGACAGCAGAGAGAATTGACTGTTATTTGCCCTCCCAACAGTAGATGTCCTTCTCCCAGTGTCTTAAACACACCACTTTAATCCAGCCCAGCTGTTCTCTTTCCTGCTCTGGAAGGAAGTAGAAAAAGGCTTTTAAACTCAGCAGTTTTTACCTACATTTAAATAATTATTCACATCCTTTTTAACGCTGTATAAATGTTTGTAATATTTTTATGAATACTCAGGGGTAGCACTCTAAATTTCATTCTACATAGTATTTTTCAGTGACAAAATATAAACAAAACAGCAGTAGCTCAGGAGGTAAAGCAGGTTATCCAGTAATTGGTTGGTTGCAGGTTTGATCCCAGCTCCAACTAGAGAATGCTGCTGTTGTGTCCTTGGGCAAGACACTTAACTTGCCTTGCCTGCTGGTGGTGGTTGGAGGGACCGGTGGCACCAGTGTTCTGCAGCCTTGCCTCTGTCAGTGCGCCCCAGGGCAGCTGTGGCTACATACTGTAGCTCATCATAAGTGTGTGTATGTGTGTGTGTGTGTGCGTATGTGTGTGTGTGAATAGATGGATGACTGTGTGGTAAAGCGCCTGGGGGGGGGGGGGGGGGGGGTTTGCAGAATCCTAAAAATGCACTATACAAATACAGGCCGTTTACCAAAAAAGTTAGTCACATTCTCATTTAATGTGATTTATTTTGAAAAACAGGATTTCTACTTCACTTTTCATGCTGTTAGTGCCACCTACTGGTGGAACTGAGTATTACGCTTTGAAATGAACGGGTTTGAGCATGCACACAGGCTGTTGGACTGAAAACTCAAGGTGGAAAGCAAAGTAAGGACAAACTAATGTGAACGAGAAGATTGAACATCATGGACTGTTCAGACACATTTGATAGAGTTCCGTATTTGTTTGGATCTTATTATAGACTACTTTATTTATAAAACTGATTAGATTTTTTCACCAACCAGCCACCTCTGTTTGAACAACCTCTAGCACAGGCCACTAGTTATTAAACATGGCTTTCCTTCATTAGTTAGCAAATTAAATCAACTAACTACGTCACATCACAACCGTTGATTGTAAAAACGTAAACACACAAACCCAGTCTCCTAAGTCCATCTCTGGGGTTGATCTCAGGAATGGTGTTCTGCTGTTCATTATTTTCTCTTAAACAAGACAGAGCTACTGTAGCATCCTGGAGCTGCTGTCTCCACATGATTGTTAGCTTTACAGTAGCGATGAAACACGTCCGCTGCGGGTTCACGTAACTGATGAGTCATTATCCATCACATAGCCATCTGAAATAAATTAATGTAAGCTTTATAAAACTCACGATAATGAGCTAGGCTACACCACTAAGCCCAGGCTAAAAGATGTAGTGACGCCCTTCAACCAATCAGAAGCGAGAAAAAGCAGGGTCATACCATCTGGTTACAAAACGGAGGGGAGATCAGCAGGGGCGCCTCCAGAAAATTTTGATAGGGGTGGCCAGACGGGGCCAGAGGAATCTTTGGGGTGGCACACCAAACTGGTCCTTGTGGTAACTGTGGGAGAGTTTAGCCTGTGGCCATGTACTGCATTGCTCCTTTATTTGTTTTGTTTGTTTTGTTTTTTAAGAACAGTACGTACCAAAAACATTTTACTTAAATTTTACAAACACAAACATTTCAGAAAAATAAATTTCAGTTATTTAAAATGTTATTTCAAAAAAATTTTTAAATGTATTTTTTAGTTTAATTCACCTGTTGCTGTGTTCACAAAAAGCTACGGAGATAAAAACGTTTTTAAATGGTGAGCAGCAGAAATGTGTATTTTTATTCTGATTATTTCTTTACTCATTAATTGTATTGTTTTTATTTTGTTTTACAATTATGTTTTTAATAAATAAGATGGATTTATGGTGTGAGTGAACATTAATATTAATATGATTTATTAATACTGGCTTTTGCTGGGGGGGGGGGGGGCAGCAATTTTCTAGGGGTGGCCATGGCCACCCCTTGGTGGCGCCATTGGAGATCAGAGTGAGCGACACAGTGGTATATTCTGAGAGCGGAGACAGAAACTAGGGATCAGGGGCGCTGCCAGGGATTTTGGGCCCAATGAAAAATTAAGATTTTCTATAAATTAACGTAATTAAAATAAAAAAGAGCCAACTCTCAGTCATGGGCCCTTAGAATCCACAGATATCATATATTAACTAGATCCCCTAACTGGGAGTCGACAGCGTCCTTACACGGTGGCCATCTTACTTCGGACAGCTAACCGTTCTCTAGCTGAGGGTGATTGCACGGCTCAAACAAAAATACTTATAACTCGATGAAATATTAACGGATTTACAAACGGTTTGCCTTATTACAAACCGTATGATACATAGACTTGACGCGGGATACTTACACATGTTGAAATTACTGCTATTACTTTTGAAACACGACATAATTGTGAACAATGTGTCCCGGCTAAGCTATTTTGCGGGTTAGGCTGAGAGAGTCACCACAATCACTATTTTTATAGGGTTCGTATGCTTCAACGAAACTAAGAAGTGTACGTAAACCTAATGTTTGTCTAAATGGCTGTCTTGGTGGATGTTTTAGTGTTTATTAGCTGTCTAACTTCGCTTAGAGAAGACGAGGCTGCCGTGGCTGCACCCCTTACCGACAATGTTTTACCTCAGTGGAAGCTGAGGGTAAAATTGCCCTTGTTTTCCAGGCGGCTTACTTTGTTACAAAATGTAAAAAACTGAGATTGAAGTATATTAAAATAGTGGAAATCGCTGGCTTTGTTTTTACAGAAATACACGTGAGACCCAACAAGCATGGCTGACTTTTGTGCTGCCTATGGATGCTCAAATAGTCGATGTCTTCAATCACAGCAACGTGGGATCACCTTTCATACGTAAGATTTAACAATAACAAACATTCTGCTGTGTTTGGCTGATAAGTCTCTGCCATCTGCTTTGCTTTTGAACAATTATTAGAAAACTGCTTTTTAGAAATAATAGTGACGGTGTCGGTACAGGATCTACTCGGGGCTCGGGGCCCTTCGACTGCCAATGACGTCAAAGTACGGCAAACCCACTCGGACAAAATACACTACACATCTATACTGTTGGAAAGAATTTAGCAGTTTCGTTATCAAAATAATGTTTCTTACTACGTAAATTTGTGTTTATAATGGTATTTGTAAAATAAAACACTATATTGTATTGATAATGTTGAACTCCTCTTTGAGCACATCCCTTGAAGGATCATAGGTATTACCAACACCTGTGAAATTGTATTTGCAGGAAAGAAGTGTGTCCCGTTTATTGAAGTATTTTGTGTTTAGAGTTTTTGACGTCTTGTCCATGCGTAGTTCAGGTACGCTCATAGCTGCTAGCCAAAACTCTGGAGTTAAAAGTTTTCTGGCTTTACTAAAATACCTGTCTGTACTTATTTGATTGATGATAGTTTTACTTTCTATTAGACTCCAAATGTAATCATTTGGCACGTTTCTAATTCATAATTTGTAAGAATGTAATCGGTGATTTTAGCATTAGCATTCCTATGGGTTTTTCCATGTATATTATTGCGCTAATCACTCGCTGCCAAATTGCAGCCTTTGCGATTAGAAAATCTCCTTTTGTCACATCGCAATTTAATTGCACATGCAGTTAATCGTTCAGCCCTAATATACATGCAGCTCTATGCTAAAGGTGTATTTTCAAAGAGGTAATGATGGATTTCTTTGTAAAAGTTGTCCATCTTTCCAACAGAAAAATTTGCCTGGACCAACGTAACGTGAAAACAACGTAACGTGATTACGTAATTCCGTAAGGTTCATGTTCAGCCAATCAACTACTTTGACGTCATCGGCAGTCGAAGGACCCCGAGCCGATTTTGCACCTGAGCAGATCTTGTACCGACAACGGCAAAGTTTAAGATCTATCAGCTAACTGTGATTTTAAAAAGTTAAAATTGCTTGAATTCAAGATTTCTTGTTTAAAGGGACTTTATGGAGTTTTGAATTGTTATGCCCGCGATTGCCCCCTCAGGCCAAAAGCGTAACGGCAGCTTCAATAGTAGGCTCGTGCACGAGGCGTGCACGCTGTACGTGCACACTCCTTAACGAAAATAACAGCTGAGACAGTCCTGTGTGTGTGTGTGTGTGTGTGGCCCGGAGGACATGAGAACGTGCAGCTAATTAATTAAATAATTTGGTTCTGTACCGTTCTCTTCAGCACAGCCGACAAAGGTTTATGATGGGTCAGTCCTCCTGCATGCTCAGATCATTCCCTTCCCTTGCTTGAAAAATTGTTCCAAAATGAAAGTTGAACCCACATCTTTTTTATCTGTGAATTCAATGCCGTTCAGAGAGTGTCAAATAAAAATTTGGGCATCTTACTTGTTAATAATAGTTATGACTAAATGAACACAAGAGAACATACAGGTACTGGCCAGTAAATTAGAATATCATCAAAAGGTTGAAAATATTTCAGTAATTCCATTCAAAACGTGAAACTTGTACATTATATTCATGCAATGCACACAGACCAATGTATTTCCGATGTTTATTACGTTTAATTTTGATATTTATAGGTGACAACCAATGAAAACATCAAATCTGGTATCTCAGAAAATTAGAATATTCTAAAGGCCAATGAAAAAATGTTTGTTTCTCTAATGTTGGCCAACTGAAAAGAATGAACATGAAAAGAATGTGCATGTATAGCACTCAATACTTAGTCGGGGCTCCTTTTGCCTCAATAACTGCAGTAATGCGGCGTGGCATGGACTCGATCAGTCTGTGGCACTGCTCAGGTGTTATGAGAGCCCAGGTTGCTCTGATAGTCGTCTTCAGCTCCTCTGCATTGTTGGGTCTAGCGTATTGCATCCTCCGCTTCACAATACCCCATAGATTTTCTATGGGGTTAAGGTCAGGCGAGTTTGCTGGCCAATCAAGGACAGGGATACCATGGTCCTTGAACCAGGTGCTGGTGGTTTTGGCACTGTGTGCAGGTGCCAAGTCCTGTTGAAAGGTGAAGTCTGCATCCCCATAAAGTTGGTCAGCAGCAGGAAGCATGAAGTGCTCTAAAACTTCCTGGTAGACGGCTGCATTGACCCTGGACCTCAGGAAACAGAGTGGGCCAACACCGGCAGATGACATGGCACCCCACACCATCACTGACGGTGGAAACTTTACACTGGACCTCATGCAACGTGGATTCTGTGCTTCTCCGCTCTTCCTCCAGACTCTGGGTCCTTGATTTCCAAAGGAAATGCAGAACTTGCTTTCATCAGAAAACATAACTTTGGACCACTCAGCATCAGTCCAGTCCTTTTTGTCCTTGGCCCAGGCGAGACGCTTCTTGCGCTGTTTCTTGTTCAGGAGTGGCTTGACACACGGAATGCGACACCTGAATCCCATGTCTTTCATGAGTCTCCTCGTGGTGGTTCTTGAAGCGCTGACTCCAGCTGCAGTCCACTCTTTGTGGATCTCCCCCACATTTTTGAATGGGTTTGTCGTCACAATTCTCTGCAGGGTGCGGTTATCCCTAGAGCTTGTACACTTTTTTCTACCACATTTTTTCCGTCCCTTCGCCTGTCTGTTAATGTGCTTGGACACAGAGCTCTGCGAACAGCCAGCTTCTTTAGCAATCACCTTTTGTGTCTTGCCCTCCTTGTGCAAGGTGTCAATGATTGTCTTTTGGACAGCTGTTAAGTCAGAAGTCTTCCCCATGATTGTGGTGCCTTCAAAACAAGACTGAGGGACCTTTTAAAGGCCTTTGCAGGTGTTTTGAGTAAATCAGCTGATTAGAGTGGCAGCAGGTGTCTTCTATATTCAGCCTTTTCAGAATATTCTAATTTTTTGAGATACCAAATTTGGAGTTTTCATTAGTTGTCACTTATGAATATCAAATTTAAATGTAATGAACATTGGAAATACATTGGTCTGTGTGCATTGCATGAATATAATGTACAAGTTTCACGTTTTGAATGGAATTACTGAAATATTTTCAACCTTTTGATGATATTCTAATTTACTGGCCAGCACCTGTATAATCATTGTTAATGTGTGTGATGAGAACCTGACTCTGCAGTTCATTAGACACTCCAGATGTTTCTGTTATCTGCTGCTCACCCCTCCTCTCGGGTATGGTTTTTCTGCACACAGCGTGAGAATAGGTTCCTGTTTTCTGTTGAGATAGTAGCCCATCCTGTTTAACCATATCTCAAGGCTGCAAGTCTGCTGTTTAGAGGATTGTTCAAACTTAACCTTGTACACACATGTGACCTCTCCCTGCTTGAGTGAATAAATCTAGCCGTCTCAAACTGAGAGATCAGAACTTATGGCAGCTGTTGAAGCAAGACGGTAGACCTTGCATGAGAGCTGTGTGTTCTCCCTCTGCAGCGGTGAATCTTATTTTGACTGTTTTTTTGACTCCAACATCAACTCAGAAGCAAACCGTAGCTACAAACAGGTAAACAAAACTGTTTCTGTGTTTAAAAAAGAACGAAAAGCATGTTTTTCTCCAATCGCTCCGAACCTGTCTTGGTCTTTCAGGACCAACATACTGTAAAAAAAATACCATTAATGTAAAAAATAAACTCTAAATAAACTATGTTCACATCCAGAATCAAACCCGAGCCTACTGCACAAGAGTCCATCTTACTAGGTGAGTTAAAGCGCCAGTGACGTCTTTTGTATCTGTAACATTTATATCCTTGATGACAGCTGAAACAACGTTCAAAGAACGGTTCAGAATGAAAATGGCTATTTTGTTGCTAATTTGCAGGAAATATCTAGAAGACAGTTCTACAGAAAGTAGCTAAGGGTCGCCAGAAATGTAGCTAGGTTCATCACTAGGCGTTAGGAACAGCGACAAAGTCGTTGAGTTGGCACTGCCTCTCTCTCTGCTGCTAAAGCTACGGATAGCAAACGCTACGGGTTATGCCTGAGCGTGAACGTGCATGAAGCAGCCTGCTCGACCCGAGCAGCTCTCTTTTTCTGTGATTTTACAGAAAAACAGGCAATCACAGTAAAAATGCCAGGGCTCATTCTACAGGACCAGGGCATTGCAGGAGAATGTATGAAGAAGACATTTATTATTTCTATACATGTTTTGGCTGTCAGACTTCCATAATGTCCCCTTAATCAACCATTGCATGTTTCTGTCTTGACGCCTTTTGTTTAACTATTGTTTGTCTTATGTTCACATTAAAGGAAAAGGCTGTAAACTATTTACAATGATTTATAAAGCTGCCTACATTTTGTCACTTTTTAAAGATTTCCCAAAGATGGAGAAAGAAGAAGGCAGTGGGAAGTTGCCCTAAGAAGTGTCTGCCATCTTCCTCAGAGCTGACGCTCAGTGGCATCACAATCAAAACTGTCAGCAAGGTAAATGTGTTTCAAAAAGAACCTAAAAAAGCAGTCAGAAGAAAAACACAAAAGATGTTTGTAGTCTTTAGAAAAACTGCTGGCTTATCAAATCCCCCTGATAAATAAATACAATGAATAAATGCCACACTTACTCATCATGATTGGTTGCCTTTAGCTAGTAATACTATAGTTCTTATCTGATTTCTCACCTGACATAATGTTCTATGGGCCTATGTAAAGTATAAAGGCAACCACACTGTCCAGTTACATTGGGAATTGTAATTTCAGGATTTGTTGTGCGGCGAGCCATGATCAAGCTGTCCTGTGATGTCTGCCGTGCCAGCCTGGTGATGGATGCTGCATCTGCCTGTGATGACCAGAGCTACCATTTGCTGACTCTGAAGAACAACGTGGGTCTTGTGGTCCCGTCTGAAGGTACTGTGAGGGTCATCAGAGCAGCAGAGTGGGCAATTTGCCAGGCATCAGTGGGCAGACGATCACAGCCCATCAAACCACTGGAGGTCATCTACATTGTGTGCAAGAGGATCGGGTCAGAGGATGCATTTTTGCTCGGGGAGAACATCAGTGAGACACAGTGCGGAATTGAGTCTCACTCCCATACACTGTTGACATCTATTGTCTCCCTGTTCTTTAAGCTGAGGATGCACCACATTGCAAGATTAGCAACTCTTAGCTTTCAGTGTGACAGCGTGAGACAGAAGCTCACAAAAGCTGTCCTTTTCAAAGGTCACTAGGAAACCACGATGTGCTTTAGCATCTGTCTTAGATCTGTTATTTTCAACATAAAAAATATGTATAATCTGTAATAAACAGGTTTTTCATAACTGTCAGTCTCTCATTCATTTACTTTTTAATTTTTGAACGTTTATTTAGCCCTTTAACTCACAATTTTCCCAGTTTTCTCTTCTCAAACTTTCATTTTGAATGAGTTGCAGGCTGAAAATGGAAATAAATATAAATTATTACAACTTGCCAAAGCAAGTATATATTGGGTATTACTTGTAAATATTAAAGTCAAAGTAAATAAAATATATTCTGTATATTTTCATTTGTCTTTTTATAAAATACTTTCTTAGTCATTGAGGTTCTAGAGTTGTTTTGCTTTCTTGTTTTTGGACTGGGAGTTTTTACTTTAAATTTTGTTTATTGCTTCTGTGTATTTATATTTTACTATTTTCTGTAAATTAAATCAGGTATTTGAGGTTTTATTTATAGGTTGATATGGTAAGCTACAAAGTATCTTAAAACAAAGTTGACCTCAGTTCAAAAACTTAACACTAGTTCATCAGAAGCGGATCTTTGAACATCTTGGGTGTGTTCTTGCTGTGTCGTATCTCTAATTCCATGCTGTAGTTCTTTTTTTAAACACAGAGCAGTTTTGTTTACCTGTTTTCCCGCTACGTTTCGTTTGCGGCTGCAAACTTCCTCAGGCTGACGCTGATGGTGGCGTCACTTCCTTCTCCGTTTATCCGCGGGCAGCAGAGGACGTTGTTGCCCTCTGCTGCCCGCTCTCCCCTCTCCAACGATGCAGTCCCATGTGCGATCCAACGTGTAAACTCCATCGTCCCTGTTCACGGTCCCACATCCACGTCTCCTTATCTCGATTGCTTCTTTTATCCATCTTTTGTATTTTTGTTTTTCAGAACAAACAACAGAACATAGAAAGGAGTGCGAAAAAGAGGCAAGTTGAAAACACACAAGAGCAGCAAAAGAAGAAGCACAATAAAGAAGTCAGCCATAACAGATCACTGCACAAGAGAAAACCATATAATGGACTGGGACAACACAAGGATCATAAACACCGAACAACAAAAATGCAAAAGATGGATAAAAGAAGCTATAGAGATAAGGAGACGTGGATGTGGGACCATGAACAGGGACGATGGGGTCTACACATTGGATTGTGCATGGGACTGCATCGTCGGAGAGGGGAGAGCGGGCAGCAGAGGGCGACAACGTCCTCTGCTGCCCGCGGATAAACGGAGAAGGAAGTGACGCCACCATCAGCCTGAGGAAGTTTGCAGCCGCAAACGAAACGTCGCGGGAAAACAGGTAAACAAAACTGCTGTGTTTAAAAAGAGAACTACAGTATGGAAGAAGTGGATCTTGTTGGCATTAAAACATTAAGTATGGGAAATTGACAGGATAGGGGAAAACGGCTGGAAAGTGGAGTGACATAAGGGGAGTTTCCTGCTAAAACTGACATATTTCATAGCCACGTCTCTGTTTAAAAAAAAAATCAAACCGTGTGAAAATCGGTTGAAAATGGAGAAAGTTAAGAGTTGTTTAAATAGTGCATGCATCACTAAGCACCAGTGTTAGGAGGGCAGCTGTCCGAAGTAAGATGTCTGCCACGTACGGACGTCAGGGTCCATTGGCGAACAGCGCGGGTGAGGGATCTAGCTCATATATGATATCTATGTTAGAATCACCCAGTAATTTACTGTTGGCATCCATCATGGCAGGCAGACCCACATGAACAGGTGCAAAGTGTCAACACTGCTCCCCTGTCAGGGGCTGACCCTACAAACCTTATACAGGGTATCCGCGGGTCCTTAAAAAGTCTTACATTTACTTTTCCAAATTTAAGGCCTTGAAAATCCTTAAAAATGACAAATAATACTTAAATACAGTTTCCAAAGGTCTTAAACTTTCAAAGACCCAATAAACTAGATCATTTTATTTCTATGACATTTTCGTGAATTTCTAGTTAGTGTTCAGCATTTTTTGTGTACGATGTTGGCGTAAGCGGAACCGCACACATTCAGTTGGTTGTGAAAGGGGTCTACTTTTAGATGAGCACATTAGCTGGTTAAGCTAGTGGGAGCTTGCGCCATGGGGAAGTGCAAATTTAATGGTAACTGGGTGGCTAATCCCCACGTTTGTGACGTGGTTAGCACCGGTTCCAGGCAATAGCTGGAAATTATAGCTTAAATTTAATTTTTAAAATAGCTTAAATTTGGTCAAAGTGGCCTTAAAAAAGGTCTTAAAAAGTCTTAAATTTGGCTCCCTTAAGCCTGCAGTTACCCTGTTATAAGGTGACCTCAAGTATGTTTTAAAAACAGCACAACACACAACTCTGATCAGTCTAAAATCATTTTCTGCTGCTATTCATTTTTAATCACACATGAAACTAATAAAAATGTAAAAACCTGGCTCACAAAGATCCATTGTCAACAGTGTTTGAATACCCAAGATGGATGGAGTAGTACCCAAATAAACTACATAGTAATTTCATTTTGTAAAAATCATGGCTTACTCGTTCAAAAACATTTGCAGGAATTTTGTTTTTATCTGTCTAGGAACTGAGAAGACCGTGGGAACTTGTTCCTTCAGAAAATAATTTACTAGATAACGCAAATTCTGAGGTGAATGTAAAGCAGCTACCTCCCAAAACAAGTCTTAGTCTTTTTTTTTGCATCCCAATATAATGAATTCTTTATTTCACCAGGAAAATGTCACTGATGAACTATCTCTTGATCCACGGAGTCTGGTTACTAAATCAGAGGTGGGATTTTACAAAGGAAACAAAATAAACCCTCTTACAAAGGGAGATAAAAAAGGCCATGTTTTTAATTTCCTTAGAATATTTGCCTTTGATAAAAATAATACAGGTCTTTGTCCAGCTGGTTGGAGATCCCTGAATTGTTATTCACTACTTTCTGTACAAAAGACTATTTGATTTCTCCATTATTAAAACTGTGTTTACATGAAAACAGGAAAAAACGTTAAACACATTTTTATTTGTCATCTTTCAGGGGGCAAACTTTTGACGGATGGGCTTAAACTGTTCATTAAACCACAGAGAACTCGGGGCGTTCACATTCAGTGTACGACATTTGGAGAAATTACAAATCTTCTGGCAAATCATCTCAAATGTGGAGCAGCAGGACTGGTCTGAAACTCTTACAGTGTTGTTGAAACAGTCACTCTTTTACATTTAAGCAGCAAATAAACATGGTTCATAATAAATCTGCTACATTACTCAACTGCTGCAGACAACATCAGAAGTGAAACAGAAACACTTCTGGCATGTCGAGTGTTTAAATGAACGCTCATAGTTCTCAATCTCCTAATCTTTTTGAACTGCAGAATAAAATTGACACAGAAATAAAACAGAAGCACTCATCCTGCTTCAAGTATGACTGAATGTGATGGTTGTTTTCACAGTGATACCAACAGAAGAACTCATTTTAAAGAACTTATTTTGTTTAAGACTGATGCAACGGGAGCTAAACACACGGCTCCCCACATTGAAGTCATTAAAACATTCATTAATGTAAAGTAAATGGCATGCAGCGTTGTAGGAAGGCAGATCCATGTGCAATAGAATCATTTGGCTAGCTGCGACTACTGACCACATCACCTGAAGGCTTTGGTTTAAGGTTCAAAGGGCGTAATACATTCGCTCTGCTATCCTGGCAGTAAGAAAAAGTGGCTCAAAAAGTCAGGTTATTCTCAGTCCTGCAGCAGAAAGTTGAACTTCCCAAAGTCTAACTCATCAGGCATGATGAGCATGTCCTCTCTGGCCTTGGCTAGTTTTTGTCGCAGGAAATTGCGTCTCTCGATCCACTCCCGAAGCTCGTCTCGGCTGTGAGCGTAGTCACAGCTCGCACCGTCAGGACACTTGGCCTCAGCCCTGGAAATCACAAACACAAAGCTAACGGTTTCCTCAGGTTTCATATGAAAAGCAAAACGTTCAAAGCATGTTTGATAACTTTAGTAACATTTTTGGTATTTTGTGGTTTTGGACCATAGTAGTGACAATATAAGCACCATCACAACAGTCAGAGGCTTACAGAAGTTTCAGCAACTGAAACTCTGAGGTAACAGCCCCGATCTCCTGCTGCTCTACTAACATGCTAACTAGCTAATCTACTAAATTAATCTCACCAGCTTTAAAGATATTTTTAAATGATCTCAGTTTTGAAAGATTAAGAATTGACAAGCTAACGGTTAATCCAAATGGGACCAAAACAAAAAATCAATCAATCAATCAATCAATACTTTATTAATCCCAGAGGGAAATTAGCATTTCAGTACACACAATTCAGAGATCAGACATACATGGGCAAGACACATGACAAGAATTGGTGACTGTGGTTATTCGCAACCTGAGTTGCGCTACCTTAATAGAGATAAGAGGGTTACATGGGGATTGGTTCAGGTGGAGGGAAAAAAAAAGGCACCTTCTAGTGGGAGGGCAGCTTTGCTCTGCAAAAAAAACACCTCAAACATATATGCAACAGACTTCAGACAACACAACATAACATGAGACTACAATAGGAAGGCGGGGGGGGGGGGGGGGGGGGGGCTGGGATTCTGTTTCCCCCAGCGAGAGCAGCCATCTATGGCGCTCAACCACTGTAGCCACAGGTGGGAGGGAGATCTTGGGAGAAGCGCAGAGCACATTGACTGCTGCAGGTTGATGACCTCGCCAGGCTGAAGTCCACCAATCCGAAGGCGGGCGGGGGGGGGGGGGGGGGGGGGGGGGGGTTCACTGCATCTGTCTGCTTTCCTTCGTGGGGGTTTTATTTGCTGGCAGCTCAAGGCTATCAGGGCATCAGATTCAGATAACAAGACTTTGTTTGGGTCAGGCTGAGATAATTTTCCTCTCTGCCTTCAGTCTTTAAACTGATCATTCCAGTCCTTCAGTGAAGCCAATTTTGGGTTTTTAAACCTGTCCATACCGTCCGGTGACTCTTTCCGAGATGACATCCATTTTGCGCACTAATACCGGTATCGCAGCTAGAACATTGTCCAGCTTACGATTCACCTCGAGTAACGTCCCAGTCTGAGAAGTCTCCACACGGACGGTGCTTTCCGTGGGTGCGGGTCGCCCTCCAATCGCTCCAGTCTTCCCAAATTTCCAGAAAACCAGATATCCTCCCACTCCAATCAGAAGAAATCCAGTGATCATCAGGCCAAATATCCACACGTCTTCGACGTCCTCAATGGACAGCTGGCTGAGACATATGATCTTCCACTCCTTCCAGGAATCCAGCATATATCCCACCGGGTGTGTCCCCTGTGGACATGTGGGAGGCCCCTGCTCCGTTCTCATTGTTGAAACAATCTTATCGATCACATTGAATGACCAGTTTATCAAATCCATGGTTAGTAAAAACAGAGTTTTTCAGAAGAAATGCAGAGAAGCGCTCTGTGGGCAGACAGGACAAAGAGCCTTGGGGAAAAAAGATAAGGGAGCGAAAAGAGAAGCGTCTGTACTCCTCGAGTGCCAGGAAACACAAACTTCTTCCATCCTAAAATGGTTTGAATATTGTGGCAGATCCTGTTGAGTGGCTAACACGAGTTTGGCCACACCCAGGGCAGATTGTTGCCATTTTAAAACGACTCTAACCTTGATTATTTCATAGCAGTTCATGTAAAAACTATTTTACATCATTGCCAGACTCACATTACATGATTATTCCTGCAGGAAGTTCCTCAGGTTGCACAGGAAATGCTACACATATCTGTTGCAGCCACTGTGATGTGATAATTACAGAATTTAGGTACACACCGACATTAAAACTGGGATTAAGCATCAGCACAATGCTGTTTCCATCTACTCGTGCTCATAAAAGAACTCCACTACCATAGAAACCAATACCATTTCACATAGCTTGATGCTAACTTTTGAGTGGAGTTGCAATAGGAGGCAAACGCGGCTAACAGTTTGGAAGAATGTGGTATTGTTGCACTCCTAACATAACACAGTAAATAACCTTTTATTGAAAAATTGATAGGAATGTAAACATTTATAGAACCGTGTTTGCATAAATCACTGATTTGTTGTTTAAAGGTGGTGGTAATCCCCTTGTCTCGGTCCCAGTATGGCTAGCCGTTAGCTCATCACTCCATTAACCTCCTATTCCTCCAGGTTAGCTTTCTCCATCTCTCTGTAGCCCCCTTCAGACAGGCCATGAAAAACGGAAATGTTCGGGACTCTGTCCATAAGACCTTTGTGTCTGAATACAAACATACGGATAACCTTTTCCATAATTAAACCGGATGATGCCCCTAGTAACAGGACCAGACTTGTCACGGACAGGGTGGCTGCTTCAGACTGGTGAGGTTGACAGGGAGGAGGGGGAGGAGGAGGGGGACTAGGGGACGCTGTGCGCACCTAGATTACGTATATATCACGTGATGTCCCTCCTGAGCACAAAAACCCAGCAGAAAGAAGGCGAACATCTTCTGCAGAGCATCTCCAACATGTCTAACAACTGGACAGATTACGAGATTCGCGAGTCTGGTTTTGAAAAGGGTAAAACTGTCGATGTTCCTGATGTCTGGGGGGAGTGAGTTCCAGAGATGGGGAGCAGAGCGGCTGAAAGCTTTGCTCCCCATGGTAGTGAGACGGGCAGAAGGAACAGCAAGATGGATGGAAGAAGAAGATCTGAGAGAACGGCGGGGTTTAGTACTTATAAGGTCTGAGATATACGGAGGAGAGAGGTTATGGATGGCTTTGAAGGTATGGAGGAGAATTTTGAAGATGGACCTGAATTTAACTGGGAGCCAGTGAAGCTGCTGGAGAACCGGGGTGATGTGGTGAAAGGAAGGGGTTCTGGTGATAATACAGGCTGCTGAATTCTGGACCAGTTGCAGTTTATGAAGGAGTTTGTTGGGGAGACCATAAAGAAGTGAATTGCAATAGTCGATACGGGAGGTGACGAGGCTGTGGACGAGAATGGCGGCAGTGTGAGGGGTAAGGGAGAGGCGGAGACGGTTTATGGAACGTAGATGGAAGTATGCTGACCGAATTATGTTATTAATGTGAGCTTGAAAAGAAAGTGAGCTGTTGAGGATGACACCCAGACTCTTGACCTGAGGGGAGGGGGAGACGATGGCGCTGTCAATAGTTAAGGAAAAGCTGTCAGATTTGGAGATGGTGGATTTAGTACCAACTAGAAGAAATGACGCATGTACGCCCGCCGCACTATGTTTACGCAATATCCGGGTACAGCCTTCCCAGCCCCTCCCCCTCGGACATCTGGAACTTTTCCCTGCTGTGTGAAGGCAGCCGAAAGGACAAGTTCAGGTGTAAAAGTGGTGTGTCTGAAAACACAGTTCTGGTTAAAAACCAGACTGAATTGTCCACACACATTCCAGAATGCCACTCTGAAAAGGGCTTGAGTGAATCTGCAGGAATACATAACCCAGCCGTTACATTCAGAACCTGAAGAACACATCTTACTTGGGACAGATTTCAAAGCGCGTCCCAGGAAAGCGGTAGCTCCACGTCAGAGCCTCGTCTTCTCCCTCGCAGCTGAACACTCGGTCCTTGTGCTTCTCGGAGGAAATGTGCTGCTGCCACTGCCGCTCACTGTTGCTGTTTTTACCACACAGGCGGCAGTGGAGGCCGCTCTAAGACACAAAAAGGTTTTGAAACGATTTGTCTCACAGATGCACACACTTATATTAACCCACCACTACCTCAGCACAATCTGTTGGCATGGCGATGAATTTCTCCTCAGAGCTGGGCTGAGAGAACGTGGCTCCATCTGCTGGGCGGCTTTGGGCGGTTAAGGCCAGCCACATGTCGTAAACCTGCTGCATGTCCCGCACTGTGGGTCCAAACACACAACTTGGTTGGAACAATCCAAAGATAGGAGGTGACCTGCTGTGGCTGCTTATGTGCCCTGATAAGAATCGCTCACAGTCATTATTCTTCATGTACATCCACATCTCCCTCTCCTCTTGGCTGTGAGCAAAGGTGCAGTTCCCAGTGTAGTTACATTTCCTCTTCTCCAGAATCTGAGCACACATCTGACAAAAGAAACCATAAAAACACGAATAATTATGGATGACACTGCTGAGAGCGGAGGATGAGAGGACTACGAGCTTCAGAAATGAATTAATAACATCAGAAGATGCGTTTATTGTCAGTGAAGCAACTCTTATGAATGTGTGTGTGTGAAGACAGGCGGCACGCCTACATCGTAATACAGGGGGGGGTTCTTGGCGTGCGGCAGCGGTCGGACCTGAACCCATTTACTCCTCTCCGGGGACTTGACCAGCAGCACCCGTCTGTCTTTGGTCCACCTGAGCTCAGACAGCACCAGAACTTAGTTCCACATCCCTCCGAATCCAAACATTTACAGATTTTTGTTTTGCCCTCACGTGTGCCGGGCTTTGGCGTTGCAGTATTTGAGAGCTTTGTCAGGTTCGCTGATCAGTCCGCCCCTCCAGCACTGAGCGCACACAAACTTCATCTTCATATCAAGACTCTTCCCTCCTCCTCCTTTTGGCTTGCCTCCACCTCCTCCAGAAGATGGCTGCATGCAATACAATGATGACCATAAAGAGAAAATCCTTACTAAAGTTTAGCTGCCCATTCCTTTTCTGATAAAATATGCTTGTAGATTAAAGGGGCGTTATGGAAGTTTGACAGCCAAAACATGTATAGAAATAATAAATGTCTTCTTCATACATTCTCCTGCAATGCCCTGGTCCTGTAGAATGAGCCCTGGCATTTTTACTGTGATTGCCTGTTTTTCTGTAAAATCACAGAAAGAGCGCTGCTCGGGTCGAGCAGGCTGCTTCATGCACGTTCACGCTCAGGCATAGCCCGTAGCATTTGCTATCCGTAGCTTTAGCAGCAGAGAGAGGCATTGCCACTTTGTCGCTGTTCCTAACACCTAGTGATGAACCTAGCTACATTTCTGAGGACCCTTAGCTACTTTCTGTAGAACTTTCTTCTAGATATTTCCTGCAAAATAGCAACAAAATAGCCATTTTCGCTCAGAACCGTTCTTTGGTTTGACGTTTCAGCGGTCATCAAGGATATAAAAGTTACAGATACAAAGGACGTCACTGGTGCTTTAGCTCACCTAGTAAGATGTTTGACTCCTGTGCAGTAGACCTGGTAATGGTATATTTTTTACAGTAAGATGCCCAAATTTTTATTTTCATTTTGGAACAATTTCTCAAGCAAGGGAAGGGAATGATCTGAGCATGCAGGAGGACTGACCCATCTTAAACCATTGTCAGCTGTGCTGAAGAGAAAGGTACAGAACCAAATTATTTAATTAATTAGCTGCTCGTTCTCCTGTCCTCCGGGCCACACACACACACACACAAACACACGGGACTGTCTCAGCTGTTACTTTCGTTAAGGCGTGTGCACGTACAGCATGCGCGCCTCGTGCACGAGCCTACTATTGAAGCTGCCATTACGCTTTTGGCCTGAGGGGGCAATCGCGAGCATAAAAATTCAAAACTCCATAAAGTCCCTTTTAATCGACCTTGACATTTATTGTTAAAACCGATAATTGTCCTACAAGTTGGAAACAGTATGTGGGTAAAATCTCAAAGTTGCCCCGTGTAAAGCAGTCTTCTACACACTCACTCAGATATAAAACATCAACTTTTACAAACAAGTTCTTACTCTGTTCCCTTTTTCCTTTTTAGAATTTTGCTCCAGCTTGTTATAATGCTTCAAGGATGCTTCCACAATTTTTTCAGAGCTGATACCTGGAATTAAACACATGAGGACAAAATGGTTATAATCTCCTATCAAAATGTTTTATCTATCCTCTCCAGGACACGCCCCCCTGATATGGGAACGTGCACTGCCAGAGTAAACGAGATAGTGTTAAACACCAGTCGCCGTTTTCTATCTCCAAACGTCTTTTGTTGTCCGTGACTTCAAATAGTGTTTTTCTTTTTGGGACTCTGCTTGTTCTAAAGTTAAAGCAGACCAGCCAACCTCATCAACATTTTTTGAGTACCACATGTGCAGCGGTTTTTTTCCCCCCTGCAGACTTTTGCATTTCTGTTGTTTTCCACGCTGTAATTTCCCAATTCACTGCCTGGAAACATCTTCTCGAAGAGTCCAAAGTATCATGAATTTTAATATTAAACAGTAAAACTCAAAAGTAGCATTTGCTTACCTTATATAATATGTGTTCTTATACAAGCTGATGGCCACAAGTTACTTGCATTGAATTATTTCAAAACAATCAAAATTATTTAAAATATATTTTAATATTTTGTATTGCAACAGGTTGTTGTTTTCAAGAATGTAATATGAAATTGGCTTAAAGGACACATGTACACACCACCGGGGCTAATTTATACATTACCTGCAGCTCCCCAGAGGCTTATGTCCACGTCATAATTGAAGATTAAGCAAAAATGCATGGTGTGGTAGTTTAGAGGCTCACAAGCATGGACACATTTTTTTTATTTGACTTTTTTTTCTCAATAATTTGGCAAAAAAAAAACATTTTTTCTTACTTCCTGTTTTACTTTTTTCATTTATTGCTGTTTGTTTTGTAAAAATCTGAATTGATTCCCTTTGTACTTTCTAATGTGGAAAGGTTAATTCCAACTAATTCTTCTACTTCCTGCATCTTTAATCTGCTCTAATTATAAAATCTTGTATTTCCCATCTTTAATCTGCTCTAATTATAAAATCTTGTATTTCAGAGAGAGAGAGAGAGAGAGAGAGAGAGAGAGAGAGAGAGAGAGAGAGAGAGAGAGAGAGAGAGAGAGAGAGAGAGAGAGAAGAGAGAGAGAGAGGGAGAGAGAGAGAGAGAGAGAGAGAGAGAGAGAGCTCTTTTACAAGACACACCATGCCGGAAAATTGACGTAATGGCTGTGTCTCAATTCAGGGTCTGCATCCTTCGTCGGCCGGATTCGTCGGCCGGTTACGTCACAGCGCCGCGACTCGGCCTGTCCCAATTCGAAGACTCCTTCAAATGCGGTCGACGAATCCGGCCTTCTTTTCGCCTGAATGAAGGATGGGTCGGGTGTATCCTTCAACAGGTAGCATTTCCCAAGATGCCTTGCGGGCCGGCCGGCAGAAAACCTTAAAAACAATGGCGGACAGTGAAGCGGGAGCTGTCGGAGAGGATTGCGCATATAAATGTAAGTATAAACTTGAAAACTGTTAGGTTAAGGGCTTTTGGTGATACATGAACGTTATTTTAGTTAGAAATGTTACAATAAAAGTGCTTGTATTGCGGTCTCGGCTCGTATGTTCGGCCGCGCTCGGTGTCGTACTTCTCCCGCTACGTTTCCCCCTGATTTTAATAGAAGTTTGTATTTTAGGGACAAAAGAGAAAACCAGGGAATTTATTAAGCTTAGGGCGGAGATGGACCATATGATCACCGGAGCAAAGTATTCGGCGGCTGTGGCATGGAGGTACAATAACATCTCATATATTAAAAACTCGTTTGAGTTTATTTTTTTCTGCGAAAACATGAAAGGAATAACCCGTTGTCCTCTTTTCTCTTCCTGTTTCTTTTCTTACATGTTTGTTAAGACTATTCTGGAGAAAATGGGCGTCCAGGGGAAGGTGCCAGCGATGACCGGATGACCAGAGCGATATGTCAGGAGAGAGACCTAGCTGGCACCCCACTCCTTGATGTACAAATCCGTTACACCGAGTCTCACCTGTAAGACGCTGAACTTTCCAGGTTTTTAGCTCTATGATGGAGTGGGCAAACACACAGCTGTTCTCTCGCTGGCAGCCATATCGGATGGCCTGATGGCACAAATCCAAGTGGCACGAACCACTCAGTGGACGAACCTTGCTGTAGTTAATGTTGTGGGTCCTCACCACAAACGCCAAGCACCTCATGGAAAGAACAGAAGAAGAGGAGTTAAGCGTTTGCATGAAAGGAGGGTTCAGGATTCTCAAAGGAAGACACACACACACAGGGTCCGAAATAAAAATTTTGACTCACCGGCCAAGTTGGCTGGTAGGTGATTTTCGGTTGGAAGATGGCGCCGGTGTGTGTGGCAGCTCGTCTATTGCTCCTGAATCTTTTCTTTTGCTTCATGTTAGTCTTTCTTTCCTTGCAATTTAGCAGTTCAATCCGGGTGTATGATCGTAAAACCTTGCTTGGGATTCGCCAAGCAGCTGAAGGCTTATCGTTCTCTGGAGATTTTGGGCAGAATAGATCGCCACTACTGGATGGTTCTTTGGGCTATGTGGGCTATGTGACAAACTTACCTAGATGGAGGAGGCGCCGGAGACGGGGGAAGCGTGCCGGACGCCGGCTGAAGCTGGGATCGGCTCGACGTGGCACGTCGGATGTTATGTGTGGAGTTGTTGGCTCCGAGGGGGACGGTGGGACGCCGGAGCACCATTTGGATCCGGTGCCGTTGAATCTGGCGGCTTCCGGATTGGCGTTGGTTGTGTGCGGCGGCGGGATGATCCGGTCGTGGCGCCCTGCACTATAGCGGCGAGCTCACGGGAGAGGAGTTCACCGACAAAATCTACGTGAGGTGATATGTGAATCAGCAGTGCCCTCGCCAGTGGATCCAGAAGGCTAGAGTATAACAGCATCTTCTTCCGTCATCAGGTTTGCTCTGTCCAATGCCAGATCTATTATGAATAAGACTTTTATTCTGAACGATTTTATTGAAACAAATGGTCTGTAGTTCCTATGCGTTACTGAATCCTGGGTCCCTAAAGATGAAACTGATGCTTTTGTGGAACTTCTCCCAGATGATTTTACATATTTTAGTGTTCCGAGACCCTCGGGGCGTGGGGGAGGATTGGCAGTGATATTTAAGTCATCAATTATGTGTAGGCAGGTATATCAATCCTCTGTGCCTACCAGCTTTGAACTCTGCCTCTGTGAGCTGGGATGCTCTCAGAAGCTACTGGTTGCTCTCCTGTATCGCCCACCGAGACAAAACTATGATTTTATACATGATTTTACTGAACTGCTTGGCGAGCTGATTCCTAAGTATGATCAAGTGTTACTTCTTGGGGACTTTAACATACATGTGTGCTGTCAGGATAAACCTTTGGTGAAAGATTTTTTAAATCTCGCTGACTCTTTTAATTTGGTTCAGTTAGTGGACCAATCCACACACATTAGTGGCCATATTCTAGACTTGGTGCTGTCACTGGGTGTAGGAGTCTCAAACCTGCAGGTCCAAGAGGCCTATTTTTCAGATCAAAGGCCAGTATTGTTTGATGTGGACTGGAATCACAAACGTGTGCAACAAAATGCTCAGATGAAGCGCTGTCGGATGTTAAAAGACTCTACAGCTGCTGAGTTTGCCGCAGTGTTTACTATGGGGGATGCGGAGCAAGACTACAGAGCTTGGACCACAGAAGAGCTTGTTATACACTTTGACTCAGCATGCACCATGGCGCTTGATGTGGCAGCCCCAGTACGGGTAAAGAAACCTAAAGCTAAAAAGGAGCCATGGTTAACTGAGAGTACTCAAGCACTGAAAAGGATGTGCAGGAAGGCCCAGCGGAGGTGGAAAAAGGATGGGCTCCAGAGCTCGCTTGACCTAATAAGAGGACATTGGATTGGCTATCAGAAGGCTGTGAAAGATGCAAGGAGAAAGTACTTTGCCAACATAATCTCCTTAAACTCTCAGAATGCTGGGATACTTTTTAAGACAGTGGACTTTATTTTAAATGTCAATGAGCCCCTTGCGATTGAGTACACCACTGAGTCATGTAACAATTTTTTGGACTTCTTTGTGGACAAGGTAAGGGTGACAAGGGCCTCTATTCCACCACTTAAGCATGCCCCCTCTGCAGATCTCTGTGTTCCAAAGGAACTGGAGGGGTTTCAACCATTAACTCTTGCAGAGCTTGAGGATCTGGTCATGAGACTTAAGCCAACAGGGGGGGTAATTGATGTTCTCCCGGCAAGGCAAGGCTACTGACAGAAGTTTTTTCTGTAGTGGGTGATCACGTACAGCAAATTGTAAATAGCAGCTTGATATCTGGGGAAGTCCCTACTCCCCTAAAGCGGGCGGTGGTACGACCTCTGCTTAAGAAATCAGGATTGGACTGAACAATCTTGTCCAATTACAGACCTGTATCTACACTCCCTTTCATCTCAAAGATCATAGAGAGGGCTGTTTATCCAACTGATGTCTTTTCTACAGGAATGGGAAATTGGAGAAGTATTTCAGTCTGGGGTTAAACCCTTTCATGGCACTGAATCTGCACTGCTTAATTTTATTGGCTAATGATTCCGGTGACGCAGTGGTTCTGGTGCTCTTGGACTTGACATCAGCCTTTGATACCATTGATCATAGTATCCTAATAAACCGGCTGGAGCGGTCTGTGGGCATTACGGGCCAGGCACTTAAGTGGATTCAATCTATATGCGGACAATTGCCAGGTCATTTTTCCAATTAGGCGTGGTGGTTTATGCACCATTCAACCCGTTGGACTGCCTGGAGGACATCAAGCTATGGTTGGCTCAGAACTTCTTGTGTTTCAACGAACACAAGACTGAAGTAATTCTGTTTACGCCACCAAAGACCCTAGGAGGTGCCCAAGGGCTTGATTTTTCCATTCTGGCACCGCATCAGAAGGCGGTGGTCACTAACTTAGGGGTAAAACTGGACGCAGAGCTCAGATTTGATGCTCAAGTGAACAGACTCGTGAGATCTTGCTTTTTTCATCTACGCCGCATAGCGAAAATTAAGCCTTTTCTGTCACATGGTCATTTGGAAACTGTAATCCATGCCTTTGTTACCTGCAGGCTGGATTATTGCAACTCGCTGTATGCGGGGCTTAGGCAAGCTCCAATAGCACACCTCCAGGTGGTTCAGAACTCGGCTGCTCGGTTGTTAACATCTACCAGGAGGTCTGAACATATTACACCAGTCCGACGTGCCTTGCATTGGCTCCCTGTCTTTTATTGCATCAGGTTTAAGGTCATCCTGTTTGTGTTTAAGGCGTTAAACTCAGGGGCACCTAAATATCTTGCTGACATCATCCACTAACATGTCTGGGCGCGTTCCCTTAGGTCAGCTGACCAGAGATACTAACTGTGCCTAGGCACAGCCTGAAGTCTCGTGGGAGTCGTGCCTTTTCAGTACTTGGACCAAGTCTCTGGAATGAGCTGCCAGCTGATGTAAAGCAGGCCAAATCATTGGAAACCTTTAAAAGCAGACTAAAAACACATCTGTTCTCGCTGGCGTTTGGACATTGAAGTTGGGGGAAGTAGGCCGGATATGGATTGCGAACTTGCACTCAGGATTTCGTATTGTATTTTAAATGGATTTCTTATTGTATTTTAAATGGTTATATGTCTGTCCTATTGTGGTGCTTTTTATTGGTGTACAGCGCTTTGTTTGTCCATTTTGGCCATGTGAAAGCGCTTTATAAATAAAGTTGATTTGATGATGAAAATCTACCGGCCAAAATTCTGAATGATTTAGATCTACCTAAAGCATGTTATTCTATATTATGTTGATTCCAAACAGTGACAAAAAATTTAAATATCAATTAATAAGAAAAACAACTCTTTTGTCATTTTACTATTTATTTATTTTTTAGAGATGTTTTTATGAACTCTTTAATTGAAATCTAGTCAGACTCCATGTTTTCTCTGACATAGCCATTAGCGCCGAGACCGTGGGTGTCACCAGTAGACTCAGATTGAGCCCGGGACATGGATGTGCAGGCAATATGGCATTTGCTGTTCTCATGTTCTCGAATAGTCTCAAGCTTCATTGTCTTATTTCCTATGACAAACGAGTTGTTACAGTTATTCTCT